CAAAGTTAATGTTCGAGGTGAAAGCAGAGACGGCGTCATTCAGAAAAGATAATTGGGTCAAAGTCGTAGGTCAAGGTCATGTTACAGAAAACTAAACTCAAACTAATTTTTATGAACTGCAGTGTTAGGCAGCTAGTGCAGTGTGTCGGTTTCCGTCTAAGTGTCTTGTTATTCGAGTCGGTTTCCGTCTTAGTGTCTTGTTATTCAAGTCTAATTAGTAAACAAAGCAAATGGCGTCAAACGGATGAAGTTCTCTCTCGTTAGAAATTAAAAGGTCGGTAAAATAAAAAGTTATTTATCGATTTGGCTGAAATTTGGTGTGTGGTCATTGCTAGCCCCCCTTAACATCCTATGACCACGGGAACTGGTAGAGGTACGAAAGTGCAATAGCGCCTTCAGATGGGACGAAAAACCGAGGTTCGGTTTACACGTTGCCGTGCACATAAAAGATCCCTCGGCAGTTGGAAATCGATATAAGAGTAGGTCGTAGCACCGCTGTCCGGGTAAAATTTATAGCACACTGTATGGCGTATGCCCGTCTTCATTAGCCCAGTCGGAGCTGACCAGTAGGACGTTACACCCGATTTCATTTCATTTGTATGACGTATGCCTGTCTTCACTGGCCCTGTCGATGAAGAACAGTGGAACGTTAAACACCATTTAATTGCAATTGTCGAAGGCGACAAATCGACAAAATGAAGGCGACGATTATCGAGTACATTTTGTAGACTTGTCACATGCAATTATTTCGACTTGTCGTGTCGAGAATATAGAATGGCCGCTAACTATGGAAGCGTATAGGGGTCAATAGCGCGATAAATATCGCAATATTAAGTTGGTAATATGTTAACATATTGTGATTGTTCTGATGGATTTATCTCGGAAAAGACAATTTTTGTCGAGTTGAATGAGCAACGCGCTATGTTATATGTCTCCATTTCGATTTAAATGTGCCCGTTTGCATTAAGATATTGCTATTCTGAAGCTTTGTCGACATATTCCATTTCGTCGTAATATATGTCGACATTTTCGCGAAATATTGCCATGCATTTAAAACGAAATGACGACATACAACATAGTGAGTTATTTAATTAGAGATAAAATCTTCATAACAATTACAATATGTTAACATATACTATTCCAAAAAAGTAGGGGATATTTGATTTTTAAGTGTTATTAAAGTCACCTAATGAAACTGACGAAGAAACAAATGACAAAATGAAATGAAGTTCACATTCATCGATTTATTCCAAATGATCGTTAGACTAAGTAAGGCACAGACTGACCATTATAAGGGTAAAATGATACCCGGGGTCAAACAGCAAAGTTACCACAGCATCACAACCAAGTCAGTAACGGGTAAATCCTCCTCTGTTTGCCAAACAAGCATTGATCCGACGTGGCATACTCCTAATGAGACGTCTAGGGTCATTTTGGTCCAGATTGTCCCATTCCTGTTGCAACGCAGCAGCAAGTTCTTGGACATTGGCAGGACGTTGTTGACGTTGACGTAACCTCTGTCCATGCATGTCCCAGACATGCTCGATGGGGGAGAGGTCGGGACTCAGTGCTGGCCAAGGTAATGTGGTGATGTTCTGTTGTTGGAGGTAACCTGTAACGATCCTGGCCCTGTGACATCTTGCGTTGTCATCCTGGAAGATGAAACGGCGGCCATGACGTCGTGCGAACGGCACAACATGGACTGCCAAGATGTTGTCCCGGTAGCACTGGCCTGTAACACGCCCTGCAACAACATGTAAAGCCGTTCTTCCAGCAACAGTGATGCCTCCCCACACCATAACAGAACCATCCCCAAATCGATCATGTCTGATGACGTTAACGTCGTGGAAGCGCTCGTTTCGACGACGCCACACCCTCCTACGTCTGTCCAAAAAATCAACAGTGAACCTTGACTCATCTGAAAACATCACATTGCTCCAGCGTCGATTATCCCAGTGTTGACGATCCCTACACCAACGACGTCTTGCCTGAATGTGATGATCTCTCAAACAAGGGATCACGCGAGGACGTCGGGCGCGAAGGTGACCCCTATGCAGTCGATTCCGAATCGTCTGGCCACTCACTCTCACACCAGTGTCTGTTTGAAGAGGAGCGCTGATCTGATTTGCTGTGATGACACGATTTCTCAAGGCCAAGGTATGGATAAATCGATCCTGGGCTTGAGTTGTCGCCCTTGGTCGACCTGAGCGTGGTCTGTCCTGTACAGATTGTGTATCACAGTATCTGGACCATAGCCTGCTTATGACAGACTGAGAAACATTCATCGTCCGCGCCACAACCGCCTGTGTTGTGCCGATCTGTAGCATGCCAAGGGCACGTAACCTTTCATTTTGGGTAAGCCGACGCATATCAAAATTTGTTTTCTGGTCACTAAAACAATTAAACTGATGTTTCCACCCTGGAATTCAATGCCACAATGACTGTAACATTCAAAGTCAGAGTCGTGCAAATCTTGGGTTGGACCCCCATGATGATCCCAAGCATCACCTGCATTCCATGCGGTAGCTATTGGTGCGTTTGGGCGTCACATGTAACTGGAAATGTTTCTTCTGTTAGGTTCTATAGTGACTTTTTTCGTAGTCATTTGCATATTTTAGTATTATGCCCCCAAAATCAAATATCCCCTACTTTTTTTTAATAGTATAGTTACAAACTAGATAATGTAAAGGCAATTTGCTGCAAATTTCATTCAAATTGATCAACTATGAACCGAGAACTAAGCGATTGAAATTTCCGCCTAGGCTCGATCAGCATTACTAAAGTCAGTACGATAAACAGCATAGTCTCGATTATCCATTTAATCGTGAAGGAAATTTATGCAGTAAATCGGCTCATAATCCACTAAAGATCGTAGGCTAGCGAAGCCATCTAGAGTTGATTATGGATAGGTTAATTAATGTCTCAATTTAGATAACAGTTCAGGCCTAAAGAAAGGCCTGCAATAGACATATGTAGCTTTTGCATAATGTATATTTAATATACAGTTGGCATTGTGTGAACTGATATATGATTGTATTTTTGCATTTTATCTGAAGTAATCATCCATAAGTCTTCTATTCATATTCATCGTTTTAAATGTAAGTTAAACAGACCATGTTATCTGACACCGTATGGTTAGTTTCATTATAGCGGTAAATTTACATACAATTTTAACAGTGCACTCCTCCATAAAGGTAAGTATTCTGGATACTGGGCTAATGAGAGAGAGAGAGAGAGAGAGAGAGAGAGAGAGAGAGAGAGAGAGAAATGGGGTTTAACGTCCACTCGACACAAACTAGGTCATTTCGGGACTAACAAATGGTTTAATTTTATTTCAATAATTCGCTTGCGCGTAGGGGTCTTGAGCAGTGGGAGGAAACCGGAGGACCCGGAGAAAACCAACGAGGTTGGACAGGCAACCCTACTCCTTGTCACGTACAACCGGGGATTCGAAACCACGCCAGTCGACTCAATGACAGACTTTATGATACAGCGCGCGCACGCTAACCATTCAGCAATCCAACCCCCCCCCCATTGGGCTAATGAAGACGGGCATACGCCATACAGTGTGCTATGAGGGAAATGTTGCCCGGGCAGCGGCGCTACGGCCTACTCTTATATCGAATTCCAACTGCCAAGGGATCTTTTACGTGAACGCCAATATGTACACGGGACCTCGGTTTTTCGTCCCATCCGAACGACTAGACAGTTGTCCTTGTCAGGCCCTCCGTCCTGCATCAAGGGGAAATCACGCCGGAAAATCTGGAAGAACTTTCTCGGCCAATGTAGGGATCGAACACCCGACCTCCAGGCTAGCGAGCCAGCGTCTTACCCACTTAGCCACGTGATCTCCCGTATTCTGGATAATCTTACCTGAAAGTACAATATGTCACATAGCTATAACTATCGGAGTTGGTAGTAACGCTGGGGGGTTGGATGGCTGAATGGTTAGCACGTGCGCGCTGTATCATAAAGTCTGTCATTGAGTCATCTGGCGGGGTTTCGATTCCCCAGTAGTACGTGACAAGGAGTAGGGTCGCCTGTCCAACCTCGTGGGTTTTCTCCGGGTCCTCCGGTTTCCTCCCACTCCTATAGACCCCTACGCGCAAGCGAATTATTGAAATAAAATTGAACCATGTGTTAGTCCCGAAATGACCCAGTTTGTGTCGAGTGGACGTTAAACCCCATTTCTCTCTCTCTCTCTCTCTCTCTCTCTGGTAGTAACGTACTTAATTTGAACTCTTCCAAGATTTCATCGATATAAGGCCACGCTCTACTGAATTGCCTGTATTCCTAGTCCTGTATGTTACCCAGGTGCAGACCATTAATTACTTCCTGTTTATCTCGGCTTCCCCTCTTAGTTTATCAAACAGATCAGTGAAATAGGCAGAAATTATTAAAGAGGGCTGGTCGGGAAACCAAATTATTGACTGAAGTTTCAACAATGCATTAAACCTCTCTCTCTCTCTCTCTCTCTCTCTCTCTGAGATCCAACGTTATTCCTATTCCAGTTACCAATAATTAAGGTACATTTGTTCGAGACCCTGTCTGCTTACATGTATTAACAGTGAAGCTTATTAGCTTTTATTAAGAAGACAAAACAAAATTAAAGGGGGGTGGTGGCTTCATGCACCAAATGGGCAAATAAAGATTTACATACGCTATGAATTGAAATGATATGGGGTTTAACGTCATACTGTTCTGCTCCGACTAAGCTAATGAAGACGGCATACACTGCTGTGGTATGACCTACACTACGATAAATCAGTTGTCATGGGACCTCGGTTTTTGGTCCCATCCGAATGTCTAAGTGAAATGAAATGAAATGAAATGGGGTTTATCGTACTACTGTTTGAATGTCTAAGACACTGTTACCAGATTGGATCCAATACAAAACGAGAGAGAAATGGGGTTTAACGTCCACTTGACATAAACTAGGTCATTTCGGGACTAACATGTGGTCTAATTTTATTTCAATAATTCGCTTGCGCGTAGGGGTCTTTGGCAGTGGGAGCAAACCGGAGGACCCGGAGAAAACCCGCCAGGTTGGACAGGCGACCCTACTCCTTGTCACGTACAACCGGGGATTCGAAACCACGCCAATAGACTAAATGACAGGTCATATGATACAGCGCGCAAATACAGAACGAATATACATATAAAATAATATAAAAATAGAATGACAATATAAACAGTTCTTTCTTTCTTATTGATTTTCATTGGCTTTTTATATACTATGTATATGTCATGCATATAATATTGTTTACGAAATCAGTGTTTTTAAAGTTATTTCGATCATTACAAATATTATATTTATGATAAATGAAAAATGTTTAAATGATTGAATTGACCTATTGTAAATTTAATACAGACTTTTAAAGGAGCTTAATCGCTAATATTTGGGACCTACAAATTGACACAAATGGGTCGCAACGTATATAATAATGTAATATGAATGTAAATAAACTGATTTACATTCAGTCGTTTCCGTTTTTACTCTAATTTCAAAATAGTTATGTTCGGCGAAATAAGCCAAAAGTCTCAATCGAATGGCAATGTCTAGCGCCTGGTTATTCCAGTCTACACTGATGATAGTATTTATTGCACATGCTTTCCAGATAAGAATATGGGGTCACCGTTTGACATGACTTGTGGAATATGTCTAACCTCGTTCTTCCGAGTCGCTTGTTACAAATTGCGCTGAAACGCATCGTGTACCAATCGTAAAATGTTTATTGAATATCAGAAGCCCAGCTTTTCCCGGTAAGATCACAACACCAATGTTGATTAAAATTGACAAATAATTCGTGTTTTCATTGTCGTAGGTTTTGGATGATACTGAGTTAGAGACTTAGCTACTTTAAACACAAATGTAAATTAATTACTGTAAATGGTATGAAATTAAACCATTGACACTGTTTTTAAGTCGATTGCAAAGGTAACGGGTAATATTTTGGAAACATTACAATAACATCCCATATACATTTATATCACATAAATTCTCAATATACATCACATACATTAACATTATCAATATATATCAAATGATAATCACATAATAGTATTATCAATATCACATCCATTATCAATATGGTACATACATTATCAATATATATCACATACATTATCAATATGGCACATAAAATCCGACCACACCTATTATTCAATATTAACAGACTGAGCTATAACCCGGAATGTAAAAAACGGCTAAAAGTTGACGTTTTGTCCTCAACTAATACTGAGAGGATGCTTATCAGTCCAGACCTTGTCTGTGCATAATTCATCATTGCTTCTTTCATGGGGTTTATCGTCCGCTTCCACCGGGGGGTGATATTGCAGACAGGTGTTTCCTATTAAACATGCAAATAGAGCTAGTCGTAAATGAGTTGCTAGTCTAGCACAGGTTAGAGATAGAGGTAAGATTAAAACAGATTTTACAGCTTCCATTTCCTTGAATAAGAGCTCAATAGTGCCTTATGAGAGACTCTGTCCAGTGGTGCTGTTAAACACCATTCATAAAGCTCTAGAAAGGCGTTTCTCCTGGGTACAAGTAGGTGAAATAAAGTGATGGCATGCAGGTGCAGTCTGTCCCTCGTTGCCTCCCTAGCTCCGATCACATATATTATCAATATATGTCACATACATTATCAATATGTCACAAACATTTTCAATTTATTATCGATATTTATTCACATGCATTATCAATATACATCACATCACATGCATTATCAATATACATCACATGCATTATCATACATTAGTAATATACGTCACATACATTAGCAATATATATCACATAAGTTGGTCAATATATATATATCACATACATCAGCATTTTGCGTCACATACATTAGTAATATACGTCACATACATTAGCAATATATATATCACATAAGCTTGTTAAATATTATCTGTCTTGCAGGTTGTAGTTTAGCACATGTAGACCGAGAACTGAAATGGAAAATATATGGATTGATTTAAATGTTTGATTGATTGGCTAATTTATACCTGATAAATAGTAATTACCCATGTTTTGGTGATACTGACATCATATCCGTGGTCAAATTTGTACTATTTTGGTTGGTAAGGACGGGTTGGATGGGTGGGGGTGGGGTCTAATCCATCTATTGATATGATTGACACGGCTACACTTTATAATTATATGCATTAATCTGTTTGAGAGTATGAAAGAGTTTTTAGACAATATCTATTAAATGTCCCTGGCGTAATTATTTTTTCTCTGTCATAATTGTTTGAGAATTTAGTTCATGCTACCCAGAATTGTATTGTATACACTTTTTAATCCATTGCCATTCAGTGTACAATTTCAAGCCTCTGGAATGTAATTACTGACGATGTTTCGACTGGGTTTCCCTAGTCTTTATCCAGAGACCCGTGGTTTCCCATTGTGAGTGGTGCAGGTCGGTGGGCCTGACGGGGATAGCTGTTAGCCATAAGCTATTGCATTTTAGGCTAATTCAATAAACTGAAAATCAAGAAATGTGAAATCTGATAATATTTTTCACATTTATTGATTTTCAATTTATTGAATTAATATATTTACGGTTTCCCTCGCCCGGGTTTATAATCTAACAATAGGTTTTATCTTTCATGATTTCCAGCTTATTGAATTAATACATTTATGGTTTCCTTTGCATCAGCGATCACTCTTTTTCAGGAGCTTATGACAAACTTATACATTCATTCCCATACTTTTGTTCTATTTCGGTGCTTATCCAGTTTTTACAGTCGAATTATACATTTTACACATCTTGGTTCTTAGCACTTATCCAGTTTTATAGTCTTATGATATATTTCACATTTCTTGATTTTCAGCTCATTGAATTAATATATTTTTTAAGAGGTTTTATCCTTCATGATTTTCAGTTTATTGAATTAATATATTACTGTTTCCCTCGTCCAGTTTTACAATCTAATAATAGGTTTTATCGTTCATGATTTTCTGTTTATTGAATTAATATATTTTTTATTCTGTCATTTCCCTTGCATCAGCGATCACTCTTGTTCAGTATACTCCCATACATTCACACTTCTCTTTAAATTATTGTTTATCTATAGCTCAGGTTAATTGGTTTCCCATTAATAGTGTTAATACATTGACCCCCCCCCCCCACACACACACACACACACACACACCTCTTTTTAAGCCCTGTACGAGTTTCCGTTGTGCAGGTTTAGTTGTAAATGCCCCCCCCCCCAATCAAAGGTGTTAAGTTTTAAATGTATTTGAATGTTATTTTTGTTGCATATTCTGTATATATTTGCCTATTATTCACATACCTGTATCATTTGCTTGACAAAGACAAGAGCATCCTCGTATTAAACTCAGTAATTTTGTATCCATAAAATTGTACCCTGTCTTAGCGTCACTATCTGGGTTGCGAAGCCATCACATCAACATTACAAGATTTGAGTAGTGATTTTACGTTTAAGTTATAAGGGTGAAAGTTGTCGATAGCTACGCAATGTAATAAAATAATTTCTTTAAGTCGAGTTACGTCCCTTGAAAGACGCAAATAGCAATTCCCCAGGCAATAATATGTAATATATTCGAGTGCGACATTTTGTTGATAACCATCAACAAAAACAGGTATCATTTATATGTCATTAAACTAATCGACAATATATATAGTAGATACCCACCTCATCCATGTAACCCCGGAAGTTATTAAGACTGGTACCACGGCCAATCTGTAGGGCACACTGACTTCTCTTTACATCACCTGAAAGTAAAAGTAGACAACACTATTGATTCAAGTGATTTATCTCTGCTAAATAAAACATTATCAACAAATAGCCTGAGCAATGAAATGGCATGTAACGTCTCATAACGTTATAATTTGAGACTAGGTGGTAAATGTCGATTCAATAGATACGTATACAATGTGACGGAAAGAATTTTGTCCGGGCAGCGGCCTTTTCGCTTACCCTTCTAGACTGCCATACATCACAACATAGATTACATTTGTCTGTCGAATGGATAAAACCCCTCTGCATTACAGAAGTTAAAGAAGTTACTTAATATTTTTCATAGCATTCGAAATTTAAAGAAAACGAAGTAGAGTTCAATATTGGTCCATTTCAATCGATATTGATGTTGTTATCTTGCCGTGAGAATATGACATCCTAATATCCAATATTTAAGAAATGGGAACCGTCTATAATCAGTGAGCATTTTATAGTTAACAAAGAAAACATATACAAGACGATGTTTACGTACTTCATATAAAATCATTTCATATACATGTGTATTACATTAATATGTGCTTCTCTATCAATTTGTATCGATTTAAAGTATCCGAAGAAACGAAAATAAACAGGCCCTAACGTCCTGCTATACTGCACCGACTGGGCTTACGAAGACAGTAAGATCCAAAGAAGAGTCATAAACCCTTTAACACGAATAACTTACCATCATTAGCCGTGCGGGCTTCATTACCATTAACTGATCCTGATAGATGGTTATCTTGTATTTTAAATATAATGTTATTCCAGCCAACCTGCAGATAAAAAAATATTTCGGTGATTCTTACACTCATGTTGAAAAGGGGGGACTAGTGATAACACGAAATTGAAATTGAATGACGAGTGGAAAGTATTTTTTTTCTGCCAACACCTTACTCATCGAGGCCCATGGCTCAACTTTTGAAACAGCCTACTACATGAACAGCAGAGAAATGTTTTGGTAGACCTCTGTCAGCACCAACAGAGCTATAATTTATTGCGTCAATCATGGCACTTCTGATTTTTTGATAGTGGTATCGAAATGGTGTAAATATTCCATGTGATTCAACGTCCTACTTTTTGGAACCCACTGGGCTATTAAAGACAGGTATGGGGACTATTTTACCCCAGAAAGTGGTCTACTCTTATTGCGAATTCCAACTATTAAGGATTCTGTTACGCACACTTCAATGTATACACGGGGTATCGGTTTCCCGTTGCATCCGAATGACTAGACGTTGTTTCTTGCCAATGTCTCCTGCCAAGAGAACACCACTTCGAAAAATCCCAGGAAATGTTCTCGGTCAACACCAGGAGCGAACCTGAGACCTACGGGTTAGCCAGCCACCGAGGCTCCCTCCAAGGCGATAAAGGGCTTGTATTTATAAGTTCATAGCCCCTCTAACTTATTAACTAAATGAAATAAGTTTGCAAATATATTTATACCGAGTGAGTCAACTCTGCTCTTTATAACTATTACGTCTAACAAATCGTAACCTGTGTTTTAATGCGTATTAAATTGATTGGGTTGTCACTGTGTTGCCATATTTATACGTGTATGTAATAATTCCCAATAAAATTATAACAATTTACATTGTAGTCGGCGGCAGTGGTGGGTTTTATTTTTAATGTACTTATAATGCGATTGGTCGATGGCAATCGTGTATCAAGCCTCGCGCCACTTTGATGTTAAATATAGGCTTGGTACAATAAATTATAATACAGCTAGTCTATCACAGGGCTGACAGATAATTGACACTAGGGTTCACCACTGCACGTCAGTTGTCACTCAAAGTAATTTTTGAATACTTTCTAGTTAACCGAGGCTAATGTTTAACTTAATAAAATATCATTGTTCCATTACGATAGTTCGAACTAATGTTTCATGATCAATTTAGAATTCACATTTTTCTAATTTTTATAATACATAATAAGGTTTTACTTGGAATGGGTTGTTCTGGAATGAGTAGGCATACTCTGCCACTTGCACACACACATCGCTAATGATGTCACTGAAGTGGGGGTCTCGGGTTCGACCTTGGTAAAAGAGCCATTGACAGTTGGAAACGCCGTCATGCGGTCACATTTTCCTATATAGCACACTGCTTGCTTAGTTGGTACCCCCACCCCCACCCCTCATTTTAGGAGCGGCTTTGTTTATTTGGTTAAATCTTGTCGTTTTAAAGCTGTTAATATATATGCTCTGAGTGTTAAAGATACACTTACAGTAGATGGAATAGAAACGACTCTAGGCCTACCAGTTACAGGTTGTAGACCAAACATTGTTGTGTGTTTATACGAAGCGATGAGCAGGGTTTGTGGTTTGCCACAGTCACCATTGGATACGACAGCTTCCGGTTTGTCAGAAACTCCATCGTTTCTGTAAGTCAGTTTTATGACGAATTTGGTACCGAATTCAACATTAGCGAATCTTGGGATTCTCAAACCACTTTTTCCATCAAAATACGCAGAGCCTCCACTCACGGTAACACCAATATTCTCAACGTAATTACCATTTCCTGACTGATCGCTTACATCCTTGTCAAATGGTAAATAAACAATTCGCCGACATTCTGTAATATATAACACACCAGCGTGATGTTTAATCTTAGTGAGTAAGACACTGGTTCGTTAACCAAGATATCTCGGGTGCACTCCGATTGGGCTAATGAAGACGGAAATACGCCATTGAGGGTGCTATGAGGGAGATCTTTCCATCGGAACGACTATACGTTGTACCTTGCCAGGCCACCGTCTTGCACAACTGATATCGGGGACCACACCGGAAAATCCCGATGAATTTTCTCGGCCAACTCCGGTATAGATCGAAAAGAGACATCCTGGTTGAGGCAACGTCTTACTCGCTGAGCCACCGCGACTCTCTACAAGAAAACGGAGGGGATTTTAGAAAGAGAAAATGTAATTGAGGGACCTTATTATGATTGAACCCATTTTTTGAAATACCCTTGATTCGGATTCTGTTCAATAAATCTGGCTTATTGGTACTTACGGTGCGTAACTGGGATGGCAACAGAATCAGCTAAAACAGTGCATCCACAATCTTCAGAATTGTAGGCAGTTCCTGGTGCGCATGGCATCGAAACCCATTGGTAATCTGATACCAGTTGCTCAAAGACTCGTTTATTGCCGGAAACAGCTCGTTTGTCACAAACTGAAATAATTTAAATTCAAAAGATGTAAATAATCATATATATATTTGTTATATTTGTGTTAAACCTGTCGTTTATATGTCTAGAACATCTGACACCATCCGTTTCATTTTATCATGAAATTTCGTAACCATTATATGCCGTTCATCATCCATTAATCATCAGGCAAGACCTTGGTGATGGTCAATGGCAATATAAGAAAACACTAAAACTACCCTGTGGTATAATGGTAACAACTACAATAATGAGTCTAAATCATATTTGACAGTTTAATTTCATTTATATGTAGCTGGAAATAATTTAGAAACGAGTATAAGTATGATTACCCCGGTCCATAGTTCGGCCCATTTATTGCACTGTACGTAATTCTGGTGTCTACTGGACATACGAAAATAGTGTGAGGGTTCTGGAAGTTAAGCCAATGTCTTCAGGAACAACATAATGCGGTGTCTTGGACAAAACCCTTTACAACGAACTAATATTAACGAACGGATTGTGCTTAAATGCTAAAACTATCTCTTAACTACGTGAACATGGAACATGCTTCGGTGTCGTACTGGCCACATAGCGAAATGGCAAATGCTGTGGAATCGCACTGGTCACGTGACAACATGGCACTTACTGTGGAGTCATAGTGTTACAGAACAACTTGGCATGCTGGGGGATTATTCGAGTCATGGGACACATGATGTGGGGTCGTGCGGATCACGCTACAACAGGACATCATCTGTGAGATGGTACTGTTCACGATTCAACATGACATACTCCGTGACATACTTGACATGGAATACCATAACACTCTGTGAGATCGTACTGGTCATAGGACACCATGACATACTCTATGAGATCGTACTGGTAATAGGACAACATGATATACTCTATGTGATCGTAGTGGTCATAGGACAACATTAGCATGTTGGGGGAATCGTTCTAGTCATAGGACAACATAACATACTCTGTGAGATCGTACTGGTCATAGGACAACATAACATACGTTGTGAGATCGTACTGGTCATAGGACAACATAACATACGCTGTAGGATCGTACTGGTCATAGGAACAACATGACATACTCTATGTGATCGTAGTGGACATGGGACAGCATAGCAAGTAGGGGAACGGGGGGGGGGGGTCGTTCTAGTCATAGGACAACATAACATACTCTGTGAGAACGTACTGGTCATAACATGACATACTCTGTGAGGTCATACTGGTCATATATAGGACATGTCATACTCTGTGAGATCGTACCGGTCATAGGACAACATGACATGCAGTGCGACTATACTGGTCATATATCACAAGACATGTGGTACTATGGGACAGTATTGTCAGAGGACAATAATTACGTCACATTGCATGATATGGTATCGTATTAGTCACTTTCGAAAAAACGGGTGTATTTTTATGCAGCCCCGCCCAGCAAGAATTCTGTATCTGTCTTACAGACCAGAGAGAATGATCTATTAGCACTTGATCCAAATGACATTATTTTGACTGATAATTAGTCTTATATAATATATTCAAAACCAGATACTTTATTGCTATTAATCGATTTGTCATGCGAACATGATGAATAAATGTGTTTTTTTTTCTATTTTATCTCATCGCTCAACTTCCAACGTGACATACAATGTGTCACAAAGATACACCATTGTTTACAGCAAGTCATCCTAGATTTTATATCACAAAACTTTTGACAGGCCATAAAATGCATTTTGCGTTTATGCCGGACTTTATATTTAAATTCCAAGAAAAAACACTTTACGTTATGCAGGAAAGTCCATTATTCTTTGCACCTATGTTGTGCTGGGGAAAAAAGATCGAAGCCGTACCCCCATGTTTTTTATGGAAGATTTCTTCATGAGTTTTTACGGGGTTTTTAGCCACACAAGCTAAAGGCATTTACGCGCAAGCGAATTATTGAAATAAAATTGAACCATGTGTCAGTCCCGAAATGACCTAGTTTTTATCGAGTGGACGTTAAACCATCTCTCTCCCTCTCTTTCTCTCTCTCCATTTATAGCCCAGTCGGTGAAGAAAAATGGGACGTTAAACACCATTTCATTATGCCACCTCTATGCACGCTACTGCCGCCATACCCTGTAACTATGTAGCGCAAAGACACCCCCCCCCCCCCCCACACACACATTGGTAGTTTCTATACCTAGGGAATGTTCCCTAACGATTTGATGACATAGCTATATATTTATTTATATAAAATAGACAGTAAGTTCCAAAAGGGTCCACTGGAACATTTATCAGCATGAACGCATGTATTACAATATTTACTACAATAAAAAAAATGTTTACTTACCCGTGTTGACAACATCTCCTGAACAGTAAGCATCGCATCCTTGGTTATAAACACAACGTCCAGAAACATAAGCGTTACCTTTAGCACAACACTGTCCAACAGATGAACCGTTGACACATCCGTAATATTCCCGACAGTTTCCACCATTTTTGTACGTCTGGCTGTACATATTCTTGCAAGGATCTAAAGAAAGGATATTTGGGTATTTTATAGTTAACCCATGAATCCAATAATAAACGATTTATGGACGAACCAGCAGCAAAACCGATTAGGTAGTTTATCTGATAGGTGATTTTCAAGTAACACATTGTTAAATTCCTCGTTGATATTCCTTATCTTACTGCAAGGTTCGTAGATCGAAAAATGGAATCACGACTATAAGTGGGTACATAATACAATAGGTATGGGTAGTCTCTGCGACAACATGATATGTCAGAATAAAAGCATGTGTACTCACCAGCAGCACACTGGACGGCAGCAGGGTAGTTACAAGTCAACAGGTCCTGATCCCAGAAAAGTCCATGACCACATTCTTGAACTACAGAATTAATGACGCCGTTTAATCCGAACTCACACTGGATATATTTTCGACAATCGATGGGATGAGGATTGTAACCGATACCATTGGACATCTTGCATCCTGAACAAGGATCTGGTTTTATAGTTTTAGTGGGGTTTGGTGCTGGGATGGTTGTAGTAGTTGGGGTGGGTGTGGTTGTGGGAATTGCTGTAGTTGGTACTGGGGTCGTTGTAGTCGTAGTAGTGGTGGTAGCTAAAAGAAAAGCATCATGGGCATAAATATTATAAAGACGATACTTACATAAAGGTACATATGGTGTCATTTTCCGTCTGGGAAATTGTTTTTGATGGCCGCTATAATACGTCTACATTCTGCTATGTTAAGTGACGAATGTCGTGCCCGAGGTGGAGTGAGCTTACGCTTTGTAAAACACACAAGTTCACTAGTGTTGCATATTGGGATTTAGAATGCCCAGTTTGGTTTATCACTTTTACCGCATAGAAAATTAGTTTGACGGCTTTCTATTCCTATTTTGCTTTTTTATAATTGGGATTCTAATATATTTTACTTACTTGGACACACAACTTGTACAAGGTTACCCAAAATGGCCCTAATCTGGTTGAAGTGGGCGGTGGTCAGGACCTGGCCATTTGAGGCAATAGATTGAAGTTCCAGTTCGTCAACTTTAGTTCCAACGCCAATGGCAACCATGTTAATTCCCATATCTCTGGATACGACAGCTTGCTGAGCGGTGTAAATAGGGTCTTTAGAGATACCATCAGTAATAACAATACCAACAATTGGAACTCCTTTTCTTCGTAAAACGGAGACCATGTCATTCATTTCCGCAATAGCAAGACCAGTGTTAGTTCCATCACGAGGATGTCCCAAACCCCGGATTCTGGAAATTAGGTTCGCAGCATCCCCACTCAGTTCGATTCTAGCAGTTATATTTGCGCTGAATAAAATAATCCCAAGATGGGTATTTTCTGGTTTAACATTCAAATCAGTTACTAGAGACTCCAGTGCTGATTTCAACTTACTGAAATCATCAGCATCAATACTGTCTGAACCGTCAACAATTACGACTACGTCTAATAAACTTTTACAATCTAAGGCTGACACTTGAGCTAAAATGCAAGAATAATTTACAGTTGAAGTTACAATTTCATATTTTCTAAGAAAGTCAAAACATAATTATTTCTATGTCTTTTGCTGTTGTCAACTCACTATTATACGATCATAGGTGTCATTCTCACACTTAAAACTCATTTACACCGGAAATAATAACACATTTACCTCCCAATTACCTCCCTTGTTTTCTATTCTCCACCATGGAGTAGCTAACTTCCGACGTTTGAATTTGAAGATGAAAATGATATTTTTGCCAATTTCTCAACTGGCAATAGTGAATTATAGGATTAAAAGGATTATTCTTTAACAAAGTAGAACTGTTTATAGATACCATCTATTTTAAGGCTTTCTTTTAATAAATTTTAAAAATATGAAATTGCAACTTTAATGGAATAATAGACCACTGTTTATGAATATCATATAACGACGCTTAAAGATGTACTAATTAAGATTTAGATAAAAGCGTCGTCAGTTCTGGCTATTAAGTCAGATATTTGATTAGCCAATGAACATTGATGTTTCTAGTAGGATACCCACAGTTCCGTGCATCGCACTCAAAGAACTCGCTGCAACGGACCGTTCCATTGGCTAATCCCTCACATCAGCCAAACCGCGGGTCATTAAACAACTCTTCCAGATCCTAGTGTAGTAAAGACAAGTAAAACGAAATTCTGAACTTTAAAAAACGAAACGAAATAGGATCTGTGTTTTAATCAGATTGATATTATATAACCGTATTTGAGTTAACCGTACTGGAGTAAATAACAACACTACTAAATATTGTATAACCGCGCTGGAGTAAATAACAACACTATTAAATATTGTATAACCGTACTGGAGCAAAAACAACACTATTAAATATTATATAATGTTTAACCGTACTGAAGTAAATAACAACACTATTAAATATTATATATTGTATAACCGTACTGGAGCAAAAAAAAAAACAACACTATTAAATATTATATAATGTTTAACTGTACTGAAGTAAATAACAACACTATTAAATATCATACAATTGCAATCCTATTAAATATGTTATAATGTATAACCGTACTGGAGTAAATAATAACACTATTAAGTAGCATATAATGTATAACCGTACTGGAGTAAATAACAACACTATTAAATATTATATAATGTTTAACCGTACTGGAGTAAATAACAGCACTGTTAAATATTATGTAATGGCAACACTATTAAATATTACATGTAGTTTTATAGTCTGGGGGCTGGAGCGAGGAATCGCCACCCGAGCTGTGAATTTATGAAACCAAGTTTTTCTAGATTCCGAATCTGGGTTGTGATTATGTTGGCGACCCCCCCCCCCACACCTGCCCCTTTAGACGCCCTTTAGACAACACTGTGAAATATTATATAAAGGTAGTTGAGTAATGAAAATTGCAGAATGGCTTAAACACCCGGTAGTAAGCCAAACCCCTAATCAACTCGCTGGTCCATCGGGTGATCGGGATTTTAAATGGATTAAAACACGACCGAAATTTAATATTTTAATTTAAAAATGGACAAGGGATACTTTGTTATCGTAACAATGGAACTTGACAATCGAGGATATATCCTCACAACTTCAAACACCCATAACTTCGATTAGAATGAAATAAATTAACTGAAATTTTTAAGCTATTCTTTCTAAATGGTCTATTTTTTAACTATTACAGCACGAACGACCAACCCTTTATCTAAATCTTACATAATGCATATTAAGTACATGACTCATTACCTTACATTAATAAAATCATTTATAGCAATGTTACTGTCGACTATCATTGTATTTTAAATCACATACCTGGTCCATCGTCAGAATCATCGGCTCGAATTGATAGAAAACCCACCAAGAATACGCAAAATAATCGACAAATCATCCTTTATCTGTAAGTAGAAAAGTGGTTTATAAAACATAAGTAATATAAATGTTATATCATTGTAATTGAGTCGAAACAAAAAATGCGGAAAATAAGAAAGACGCCATACTGGTTAATGCTTTAATTGCTTTAACAGAGGAATATGATGAATTGGATAATGTTGTTTTGTCATTATTTTTAATAGCTTATAAAAACCTAATTGCAGCTTTAATAGTTATGTAAAATGTAAAGTCAATTTGCAAAGGTATTTTTGACATATGAAATAGCTTTCTGCACCGACTGGGTTAATGAAGACGGGCTGTGATATAGACGTTTATTAATTCACTAATATATAGGTATTACACAATTAATGCTGGTTATCATGTAAAACAATCTTGCAAAATATATCAAACATGGTGATTTTTACATCGTATTATCAATGAAACGATTTTTCGGCAAAAATCATCCAAGAAAAATAATATAATAATTGTAACATTTTAAAACCATACTACTGACCGCAGCATTTATAATTCCATTTACGTGACAAGGATCGCCTGTCTAACCTTGTGGGTTTTCTCCGGGTCCTCCGGTTTAATTCCACTACTAAAGACCCCTGCGCGCAATGGAATTATTGAAATAAAATTGAACCATATGTTAGTCCCGAAATGATCTAGTTTGTGTCGAGTGGACGTTACCCCCCCCCCACACACACACACACACACACCCGGGTTTTCTCCTGGTCCTCCGGTATCCTCCCACTGCTAAAGACCCCTACGCGCAATGGAATTATTGACATAAAATTGAATCATAAGTTAGTCCCGAAATGACCTAGTTTGTGTCGAGGGGACGTTAACATCTCTCTCTCTCTCTCTCTCTCTCTCTCTCTCTCTCTCTCTCTCCACTTACCGTATTTACACTGCTATATTCCCCGACAACTTGACAGCTCAATATTTTGATTCAGTGGAAAATAATGTTTATATACTTTGACTAATTGCCACACCCCGCAAACTTCCATGCTGACCTCAAACCTAAGCTATGGCTGTACTTAAATTAGACTTCCTTGCTGTCGCCTCACAATAGCTTATCATGACAATTGATTGATTAATACAGATGAACGTCTCTAGAGCCCCTGTTAATGAAGGTGTGTAAAACGTCACCTGATTTTTTTATTTGCATTTGAAGACGTGTTTTTGATTATGTAGATTTACGCTACCCGGATTTTAAGCTGTCAGACATCTCAACGTTTATCACGATTCATGTGTTACCATAAATTTGTTTTATTCAACTGTTTTCCCCGCCTTTTCCAGACTAATTTGCATATTAAGTATTTATCCTGTCACACAAATACTTACATTTAAACATACATTATGCAAGCGCTAAATCTGCCTAGGCCTGAAATGTTTTCTACATCATTAATTAGACATTAATTAACTGATCTAGGCCATAATCAATTCTTGATGGCATCGGATTTCTCTGATATTAAATAGATTAGAACGGTTTAGCCATATTTTGATATAATTTAAAAATGGAGGAGCGAGACTTAGCACACCGTCTTGTCAAACCTCCAAAGGCTAATATCTTCGCTCGCAATAGAGTAATTTGAATGAAATTTTCAAATTATTCATTTTACATTATCTATTTTCGAACTATTATAGCACGAATGTCTAGCTATTTATCTAAATCTTTGATAATGTATCTTTAATTTGTTGGTACAATTTATTTTGTTTATTTTAATTAAAGTTACAATTTCATATTTTCTAAGAAAGTCAAAACATAATTATTTCTATGTCTTTTGCTTAATGGGTTGTCAACTCACTATTATACGATCATGGGTGTCATTCTCACACTTAAAACTCATTTACACCGGAAATAATAACACAAATACCTCCCAATTACCTACCTTGTTTTCTATTCTACTCCATGGAGTAGCTAACTTCAAACGTTTGAATTTGTCGATGAAAATGATATTTTTGCCAGTTTCTCAACTGGCAATAGTGAATTATAGGATTAATAGGATTATTCTTTAACAAGGTAGGACTGTTTATAGATACCATCTATTTTAATTTTAAGGCTTTATTTTAATAAATTTTAAAAATATAACTTAAAAATATGAAATTGAAACTTTAACAATATGTCGAAAAAGCAGTAAATGAGAAACTGGACTATTTTAGCGCGAGTTCCTTTACCCTCAAAATACTCAGAAATAAATTAATGTCACGTTGATTCACTTGGGTTTATTTTGAGACGGATATCGTGATTGTCGTATACGTTATGTGTTACCTTAAAATGCTGTTTTTAAAAAATATATATTTTTTTATGAAAAATAACGGAAAAGACGTTTATGTAGGAGGAATAATGACATCATTAATATTATATACCCGTACAGTCATCGGGTTCGTAACATCGTTTCTGATTGGTTGATATTGCATTCTTCCCTTGTGTTAAATATTCACTTTTTTAATATTTGTATTTTTAACAAGCTTTTGTGTTTTACTCACCAGCAAACTGACACCAGCGAAAGGAAATAATATATTTCTTTCTTCTGTCAGTCTTTTTTAAACACGCAGTATTAACTGTTACTATACAATAACCCGTGTTTCTCATCTTTCAATACGGACAACGCACAGATATAAGAGACTTTTGGCAAGCGTAAATTCCTGGTCCGTATCGATTTTGCGTGTGACGCCATCAATGCGTGTGTATTCCTCATACGTGATACTGTCCGTATAACATCATGTGTATCCTAGAATACGAAGGTGTATATTTGATGTCTGTAATACTATGGTCATTGCCATCTCATTTCCTACGCTCAAACAAATCATATATCAAAATTTTCTGATAATGTAGGGATTATATCTTTACATTTAGACCTCTCAACCACCGATCATAAAGACCAGGGGCAAATAACTCATCTCAGATCTCTTTTCTATCATTTGAAACGAGGATTTTATAACTTCTACATGTATGTACACTTTTCTCCAATAGTATTCAGTTCAGCCAACAAATGTTTACTTGCCTTTAACCGAGGATGATTGTACATTCTAAAAATTCCGCTTCCGTGGATTTGGCTAAAGGATTTATATTTACCGTTTCACGAAGACAGGTGGGATCACGGTGGCTAAGTGGGTAAGGCGCTGGCCCGCTAGCCTGGAGGTCGGGTGCATTGGCCGAGAAAGTTCATCCAGATTTCCGGCGTGGTTTCCGCTTGTCAGTGATGCAGGACGGAGGGCCTGGCGTCCTTGTCGTTCGGATGGGACGAAAAACCGAGGTCCCGTGTACACATTGGCGTGCACGTAAAAGATCCCTTGGCAGTTGGAATTCGATATCAGAGTAGGCTGTAGCGCCGCTGCCCGGGCACAATTTTCCTCAAAGCACCCAGTTTAGGAATTGAACAGTAGGACGTTAAACCCCATTTCATTTCATTTCATTTCACGAAGACAGGTGAAATGTTAGGATTAGGAGGAGAACGTTTGTCCTATACATTGTACCGATCATAAAATCGTCACTGCTGCCGCCATGGCATTGAGTCTGGTTGTGAGACTACCGATAGCATTCATAACACCAACTGAAACTTTTTTCAAATTATTGTCTCCTGTTTTGTTTAGATCATTGTTGATTCAGCTTACGTATGCTCTAGGTGAACCACATGTGGCAGGTTAAAGATGCATTATGTAAGATTTAGAGAAAGAGCTAACACATAGATAATTCAAAATTAATTTCATTCAATTTACTTTATCCGTGTATAGGAATATTTATCAACCCCATGACAACAGAAATTTTAAAATTTTATTTATTTCTAAGGTGAAAATACAGAAGGGTTGAACACCGGATACGTGATCTACGAATCGAACTGTTGACGGGAGTGCTATTGTATGCCGACGCTATTTCACATTTTGTAGGTTTATGATTTGGTTTTTTTTAAACATACATTATGCAAGAGCTAAATCTGTCTATTGTAGGTCTTTCTTTAGGGCCTGAAATGTTATCTAAATTATTAATTAGACATTAATTAACCTATCAAGACCATAATCAACTCTAGATGGTAATGCTAGCATGCGATCTTTAGTCGATTATGAGCCGATTTACTGCATAACTTTCCTTCGCGATTTAACGATTAAATGGATAATCGAGACTATGTTGTTTATCGTACTGACTTTAGTAATGATGATCGAGGCTAGGCGGAAATTTCAACCGCTTAGTTCTCGGTTCATAGTGGATCAATTTGAATGAAATTTCAGCAAATTACATTATCTAGCCTTGATCATCATTACTAAAGTCAGTACGATAAACAGCATAGTCTCGATTATCCATTTCATTCAAATTGATCCACTATGAACCGAGAACTGTTCAGTTTATCGCGTGCAAACCTTACACATATTACTGTTCGATTTACCCTTAATATTCGGTTTACCATGTGAAAACATTGAACATACTACTGTTTGATTTACAATGTGCAAACATTAATCAAATATCTGTTCAATTTACCATCTGTTAATGTTTAACACATTACTGTTCGGTTTACCACGTCAAAACACGGAACATAATACTTCCATTTACCATGTGAAAACATTGAACATATTATTGGTCGATGTACCATGTGAAAACATTGAACATATTACTGGTCGATATACCATGTGAAAACATTGAACATATTACTGGTCGATGTACCATGTGAAAACAATGAACATAAATTTATTACGTTCAATTTTCAATGGGTTGTATCTTTGAAGGGCATTTAGTGAACGGGATATATAATAAAATGACATCTTTATGGATAACATTCACTGGGTTTATTAACTGCAACGTTTCAATGAGGAAACTCTCGCCGTTATCAAGCAAAGATACAATCAAACATGTTACAGAAGGTTATATACAAGTGGATAACAATCTACGAATCGAACTGTTGACGGGAGTGCTATTGTATGCCGACGCTATTTCACATTTTGTAGGTTTATGATTTGTTTTTTTTAAACATACATTATGCAAGAGTTAAATCTGTCTATTGTAGGTCTTTCTTTAGGGCCTGAAATGTTATCTAAATTATTAATTAGACATTAATTAACCTATCAAGACCATAATCAACTCTAGATGGTAATGCTAGCATGCGATCTTTAGTCGATTATGGGCCGATTTACTGCATAACTTTCCTTCGCGATTTAACGATTAAATGGATAATCGAGACTATGTTGTTTATCGTACTGACTTTAGTAATGATGATCGAGGCTAGGCGGAAATTTCAACCGCTTAAATTGCCTTTACATTATCTAGCCTTGATCATCATTACTAAAGTCAGTACGATAAACAGCATAGTCTCGATTATCCATTTCATTCAAATTGATCCACTATGAACCGAGAACTGTTCAGTTTACCGCGTGCAAACCTTACACATATTACTGTTCGATTTACCCTTAATGTTCGGTTTACCATGTGAAAACATTCAACATACTACTGCTCGATTTACAATGTGCAAACATTAATCAAATATCTGTTCAATTTACCATCTGTTAATGTTTAACACATTACTGTTCGGTTTACCACGTCAAAACACGGAACATAATATTTCCATTTACCATGTGAAAACATTGAACATATTATTGGTCGATGTACCATGTGAAAACATTGAACATATTACTGGTCGATGTACCATGTGAAAACATTGAACATATTACTGGTCGATATACCATGTGAAAACATTGAACATATTACTGGTCGATGTACCATGTGAAAACAATGAACATAAATTTATTACGTTCAATTTTCAATGGGTTGTATCTTTGAAGGGCATTTAGTGAACGGGATATATAATAAAATGACAACTTTATGGATAACATTCAATAGGGTTATAAACTGCAACGTTTCAATGAGGATACTCTCACCGTTATCAAGCAATGATACAATCAAACATGTTAAAGAAGGTTATATACAAGTGGATAACAATAAACTAATTAAGAGTTAAATCAGAAGCCATTAAGTTAAACCTCATACCTATGAACTATTATTAATATTAATCTATAAGAAACCCTTAAAGGGAGGGAAATATACAATTAAACTAAAACAACCGTTGATACTAATAAACCCTTAAGGTTTAGCGGAAACATGCGCAGTCAAGTTTTAATGTTAATAATAATAAAGATGACACTTTATGGGTTTTAAGGGGAGTCACGATCAGACGGACTCGGCATCTAAACACTATTCCACCAAAAACAGACACCAAACCTACAGAGTGGGATAGTGGAGTAAGGGGAGGTCACAATAAGACGTGCCTGGCACCTAAACACAAACCCCACAAAGATGACATCTACCAAACTAGCAGGATAGTGGAGTAAGGGGAGTTACGGTCAGACGAACTCGGCACCTATACACTATTCCGCAAATAAAACTGATACCAAACCCAGAGAGTGGGATAGTGGAGTAAGGGGAGGTCACGATAAGACGGGCCTGGCATCTAAACACTAACCCCAAACGATGACATCTACCAATCCAGAAGCAGACGAGATCATCAACCAAACGATATGTTTTATATTAAATAAAGGGAAGAACTTCCCACTAAACCAAATCCATGGCCTAAGGCCAAATGGAAAAATTGCAAAGCATATTCTAAAAAACAGGAATCAGCTTCGCCTCTCCTATGTCTTGTCTGCGATATCACTTATGTAGAAGCAGACGTTAAACACCAAGAACTAACTAACTAAAGATGACACTTTATGGGTTTTATTTGTTTATTTTCTGTGGACAATATCAATGTCTGTTCTCCTTTTTGGTCGATGCTTATATTTCAATTGGTTCCACCAAGGAAAGAAACACTGACTTCATAGTCATTGGTTAATAATTCGATATACCAATAATCCGGAAAAACCACTGAAATTAGCAGACGTGTCATTAAATACAATAAATGAAATAGGGTTTAACGTTCTCCACGAACTGGGCTAATGAAAGCAAGTTATGTGAGTCATTTTACGTGCATGTCGATATGATAGTTTTGTGTGTTGACGGTATTAATTTTTAAGCCGGGCTTGTGTCGTTCTGTGAGGCGATAAAAGTATTGGAAACTATAATTAAACTGCTCTACGGGCTTATGTCGTCTGCGATCAGAGAAAATACCAGGTCGCCAACGTCACTGTATCTGTTCAAGTAACTTTATCCATGGTGGTTTTCATACTTCGTGGTTTTATAAGGTAATCCACTTGATATTGTGTTTCACGGCCGCTGAACTCACGACTGCCTATTAAACTAGCGGCGAACTATCGATGTTTTATCAGAACCCTACCGGGTCTGTGTGTGTGTGTGTGTGGGGGGGGGGGGTCAATGTATCAATATTGATATAAGAGCGAGGCACCACTAGAAGACAGGTATTTGTTTCCACTGAACTGGCCTATAATGCATTCTATCAACATACATGGTGGCCCTTTCGTGATCACACACTCATATTTAATTATTTATCTTGTAAACTTACCGACATCTCCTGGCTCTGTTGTAACGTCAAACGAGAAACAACTCTCTTCACATCCAGCCTTGGGTGTAAATGCTATGGTACGAGAACCAGAGCCTTGTATATAAAACATATTCGCAATTCCAGTTTCCTATATAATAATAAAATCTTTTTAGAAAAGGAAGCTTACAACCACAGGAGCCAAGTCGCCAGAGTAGCCAATAAAGCTTTTCGAATTGTCGGATGTATACATTACATAGGAAGTAGAAGCAGAAGCAAAGACATTGAGGCGTTGACAAGATTCTACAGTATAATGAAAAGCAATTTTCTAAAAAAAAATAAAACTGAGCAAGGTCAATAACTCGAAGCTATATAAGTTGATATAAAGATTATATAAAGTGAGGAAGAAAAATAAAAATGGACGCTGTTAACATAAATTATTATGATTATTATAAAGGTTATTCTTTCTAATCTGATCAATGCACAATGTACCGGGTTATATAATATATCGTTCCCAAGATCCTGCACAGCGTGGAAGGGAAATAACTCTAGGATAAATAGATAGATTATGCCTCTTCGCCTAACTAGAAATGCATTGATACTTCGTATAAGGGCGCCAAACAATATACAACCACATTTCAATACGGTTATCGAATAAAGATTGGACGACTACTGTATTTTTTTTCTTAATGAATAACTGATAGATCGTGCACTGTCAAGGGCTAACATAACAAGTCAGGATGTATTTTAAAAAAAAACGCGTTTTAGAGCAAACATAACGAAAATTACTCTTACAGCAAATAAACAAGTAGTCAAAATATTTTTCAAACAATCGATGCTAAGTTACGTTTATGACAGTGCCGTCCTGAATCACAAGGCCTTAAACCTTTGTTCCTTGGGACCTCGGAGGTCAAAATGTCCAATTTTCGGTTTTGCACTTGGGAACTTCAACAGGATGTCAGCGTAAAATATAAAAACTAATGAGAAATCAGTTCTAATTAATAATCGGAACTTTTAAAACTTATCTGTATGGGGTCTTAGCACCGTACCTTTACATTGCAGTGTCGAAAAAGATCTTGCATAACAGGAACAAAACACCTCGAAACCCGTTTCAAAAATACGTAAAAACTGTCTAATCGTAATCTCTCTGATTTAGTTTGTACAACGATTGCTATATTCATAATGAAACTAGACGGCCGAAAAACAATTGAGTAGTTTCATGGTTGGATTCCAGCCTGCAGGCCGCGTGGTTTTGTCTTTAGTTTTTATATTTTACGCTGACTTGTATTGCGTTAAATCTTCTAGTGCAAAAACGGATAATTTGACTCTTTGACCTCCGGGGTCAAAAATAACAAAGGTGAACTTAGCAAATTTACATTTTTGTTGAAAGTGTGATTAGTTTCGATCATTTTCAGCATGTTTTCAGGATACAAGAATGGTTGAGTATTCACTGTCAGTTTAAATGACTTCATTTGACTTTTGACCCCAAATATCTCGAAAAACGCCCAAACGGCGGACCCATTTAATGGACGCCCTGCGCCGCACGGGGCCTCCAGACTACCTCTTAAAGACTACCCTAGCCATGTGTCACCCGTGCACTTCATGTTGTGTACTGTTTTACATATAAACCGGTAAAACATTAAACTACAAACATGGTTTTAAAAAACTTATAAAGATCACATGATGTTCTTTAAGCGTCCCGTCTGATGTAGTCTCGGCACACGCCCGATAAAATTCTGGCTTGTGATACGGACAGTTCTTTTGCAGCTTACCCTAAGTTAGCGAGGCACACTTTTTCCTTGGTTGTCCAACTGCAGATATGCCACCCTTATGTCCCCTGAAGGGGAAGGGGCGAAGGGTGTGTACCATATTTGGATTTTGAGGTTACTGACCGAATCTAATCGCACGGTACCTAATTCAGATAGAACCTCCACACTCGTTAAGGCGCTGCCTCCTGCAATTACACTATTCTATCTATGTCTACTCAATAGTGTTCTACGTTATGATTAGTCTCTATTGATTTGACGTCGCCATCAACACCAGAGCTTAAAAAAATCAGTGCTATGTTTGATTATATTATAACAATAGTTCTTTTACAGTAAAATACAAATTCACACAATATTATCAGCTATGTGAACTGATGAAGTGAAAAGTGGTATATTTTGCACATTTAAGATAAGGTCCCAGCGTACCCTTTAACAGGGGGTGGCATTTGCTGCAGTGGAAACTGACTTTTCAGATTGTGTACATCTAAACTTTGTGAGGGCATTTTGATTATTAAACTTCCTGTTGGATATACATTTAACTTCTACTTACCAATGATACGCCATCAGCTCCTGGCCCAGATATATATAGATGTTTTTCTATGAGAACCTCCACATTTTTAGATATAACACTCGGTCTTGGGAATAGCCCCTTTAGTAACTTACTGGTTGCCATTCTACGACTTGACCTATAACATAAAAACAAGATTAAATTGAGTCCAGTTGGTGATGTTAAAAATTGTAATCAGCCATGTTAATTGGCTAATTTTGAAATATGTTTGAGTATTTCTAGCAGATCACATCCTCGGTATATCCAGTGGTCTTATTCCGTTTCACTCGATTATACCCCAGGTTCATCCATGGGAACACGTATTCAAATTATCTGCCCTTGATGATTGTGCTATTTTTATCGACCAATACGCTTGATGGCATATAAGACTTGCCACTGCCTGTTTTGACTGATACATAAAAAAAATTCATTCCAATCACAAAGATGCTTTAGGACATCTTGTTGTTTGCATGTCACTTTTTTATATTAAATTTCTTTCAAACTTTCTCATAATCGAGCGAACAAACCGTCATATTGTTGAGAGCGTAAACAATAAGCCTAAGTCTCGATTGTAAACGTTTTTTGATTGGCTCGTAGAACCAAGCTACCTACGATCAAGGGCAGATAATTGGAATACGTAAATAGTTGAGTAGAGTTGAGTATAGTGGAGAAGAACGGAATGAGACCACTGGGGATACCGAGGATGAGCAGATCACTGAACTAGTACGTCCCCAGTTAGAATCCATGAATAGGTCGACACCAATCTTCATTTGTTAGAGGTAGGGCATGTTGAACTCACAAGAAAAGTGTGCCTGGTCGTTTGGAAAGGACAAAAACATAGGTAGGTCCATCCATGTATACATTGCCCTGCACGTAAAAGAGCCCTTGACAGTTGAAAATGAAGGAAGAGTAGGTGGAACCGCAGCTGTCCACCTCGAAGTGTCCATGTACCCATAAAAATAATAATCATATTTGTCTCACAATCGCCGACATATTGCGTTGACACGACATTAAACCACATTCCATGTGGTTATCTATTCTGGATTTTCATTGAGATAACGCTGTTGGATACATGAAATTAAATCAAATGAAATTAACATCTTATTTTTCTGCACCGACTCGGCTAAGGAAGACGGGCATTTGCCATACAGTATGCTATCGGGGACGATTTGAACGAACAATGGTGCCCCGGCCTTCTCTTATATCGAATTCTAGCTGTCATTAGTTCCTTTACGTGCATGCCAATGCGTACACGGACCACGGTATTTAGGGAACGAACCCGGCACCTGCTGTTTAGCGAGCCAGCGTCTAACCCACAGAGTCACCACTGCCCCCGCCCCCCATGTTGGACACAACTCAATATAATATATATTTTTTGTGTATTGTTTTGTCTAAAGTTATTTCAGTAAATTATGACATACCACTGGATGTGAAAGTCTTCTTCAGCATATATGTCCTCCAATGTACCTGGTTGATTTAAATCATTGAGCGATTTCATCCAATCAACTGAGGATTGTTGGAGGACCAATGAGGAATCCTGTAACACTTCCTCTTTATTTATTAAATTCACTATATCCATAAAACTAATAATGCGTTTCTGCAGACCCTGCAAATAACAATATATGGCTGATGAAACATAACACCTTGGAACAGGACAGAAGACCTGCTAATGGATAACGTATAGTCGTCCGAATGGGACGGTAAACCGAGGTCCTGTGTACATATTGGCGTGCACGTAAAAAAAGCCCTTGGTAGCTGGAATTCTAAATAAGTATAGGCCGTAGCGCAGCTGTCCGGACAAAATTTCCCCCCATAGCGAGAGAGCGAGAAATGGGGTTTAACGTCCACTCGACACAAACCAGGTCATTTCGGGACTAACATATGGTTCAATTTTATTTCCATAATTCGCTTATGCGTAGGGGTCTTTAGCAGTGGGAGGAAACCGGAGGACCCGGAGAAAACCCACGAAGTTGGACAGACGACCCTACTCCTTGTCACGTACAACCGGGGATTCGAAACCACGCCAGTTGACTCAATGACAGACTTTATGATACGCACGTGCTAACCATTCAGCCATCCAACCCCCCCCCCCCCCCCCATAGCACTTTGTATGGTGTTTACACGTCTTCATTAGGCCAGTCGGAGAAGAACAGTGGGACGTTAAACCCCATTTCATTTAATTCCTTTTCAATTTCAGCTTGCACTCCGTTTTCGCCCTGCATTCTTTTTATTGTATTGTTAATCAAACATTGCAACATATAATAATGAAATCTGACAAGAAGTAACATGATTATGATTGTAAGAAAAACATCTAGGAAACTTTGGTTTTAATTAAGTGAGAGTGATGAAATTCTGAGTATAGATTCATTATATCATTACCATGACTAAGTTTGATGATGAGAATTTTCTGTTTAGGCGAAGGATTGATAAGCAATTTGATTGGTCAAGACTTTGGAACATAACAACTCTACTTTTAATTGAGGTAGAATATTTAAACTTGATGTTGATGTTCATTAGGTGAATGGCTTGACTGAGTTCAATGATTAACATTTCGAGCAAAAGCTAAACAGATCTAAGTAATTTCATTGGTCGATGCTTTGAGACAAGATAACTTGATTCTATCTGATAGAGAGTAGTGTAACTTAGTGTATAGTTGATAATCAATTTGATTACTCAATACTTTTGAAAAAAATAAATGTGCGATTAAATAATATGTGTCATATATTTATTTTGGGATTTCGGCGGGGGACATCAGCCTCACTGTTAGCTTGTTTCTGGTTCCTCTGTTTTCTTCCCACTGATAAAGGTCCCTACGCTCAGGAGAATTATTGAAATATTGAAATGACCTATTTTGTGTCGGGCGTACGTCAAACCCAATTATATCTCTTTCTCTACAAAATGACTTACCCTGAATAAAACAGGTTCGGAAAAGATGTCCTCTGTTAATTCGTTCTCGTTTTTTAATTTGGTTATACGCACTGAATCGATTCCTTCACACCGTAAACAATCAACTTCCTCTTCTTCATATTCGTAGTAAGGATTTTCAATCAGACATTCTTGATTGTGGTATGCTACATAGAAACAAAAATAAAACATTAAATATGCCTAATACTTAATTAAAGGGACATTAGGTGAGATTAGATAAAGATCTGACAGTTCGTGCTATAATAGTCCAAAGATAGATAATGAAAACAGAATATGCTGAAAATTTGAGTCAAATTGCTTCAGTCTGAACCAGGATATTAGCAATTCATTTTTAGGCTAGCCTCGATCGTTATTACTAACGTTGGTACGATAATAAACAAAGTCTCGATTAATTATTTTTACGTTAAATTATCCATCAAAAAATATATTCCATTACACTGAATATCGCAGGTTAGCCATGACATCGAGAGTTGATTATGGTCTGGATAAGTTAATTAATGTCTAATTAATAATTTAGATAAAATTTAAGGCCTAAAGAAAGACTTGCAATAGGCATATTTAACTCTTGCATAATGCATGTTTAGGTGTGAATTAGAGACTATATCCAAACTGTAGGAAGACAATTTCCCGGTTTATAATCGTAGATTACTGTTAAATTTCGAAATACCGTCACAAATTAGCCTAGCTGTAACCTTTGACAAACACAAACACTGCCAGATGTATTAGGGTAATGTACCTTTATAACATTTGTTCATGAAAACCAGTGGCGGGGCCCCTTACTAAGTTATAATTAGGATATATATTTTTTTAAAATATAAAACAATCCCCACCCCCCCCCCCCCCCCCCCCGCACCTATAAAAAAATATATGTAAACTTCTGAGTAAAAAGAAATTCTTTACAAATGGCACACCAAACCATACAATGCACGACTCGGGTATTGATCCTAAATTTTCATTGTGTCTTAAATATATTTTCACAGCAAGATCACAACATCAATATTGATTGAAATGAACAAATATTGAGGTTTACAACTGTGTATTTCATTTCGTGTCATTGCTTTCGTACAGTGAACGGCTGTCATCCACCACACGTGAAGTAAAGCAATGTGTACATGCCTTATATATGTTGCGTATATATCGACCAACAATCACACTCCAGTTAATACCTATGTGTTCATATTGTGTTAAAATATTGACATTTATACGAAAGCATATACAAATATATACAACAGCTGTATATCGACACACCATAAAACCTTTAATATACATTATCCACGAATCATTACATACCAATAAGAAAAACGTCATGCCAGGTTACAATACTATAAAGTTTTAAAGGGAATAACTTTTCAACTATGAAGCTATTGGTGGTCTCGGACTAGTACCCCCCCCCCCCCTACACCCACTATTGACATCAGTATTAAATCTATGATATTTCTTGACCTGAAGACTCCTACTCGCAAGCGCATTATTGAAATAAAATTGAACCATGTATTAGTCCCGAAATGACATAGTTTGTGTCGGGTGGACGTTAAACCCCATTTCTCTTTCTCTATCTAATGTATGTCTGTTTACTTCTACTTAATGTCTGTGGATATCATTTAAGAGATTGTTAATTGTTCGCAAACTACAATATTATGAATGTTAAATCTCATAACCGTCCACAAATTGTTCAATTCTATTCAGTGTTTACAAATACCATAATGAATTTAGAATATGTTAAAGCGTCACACTGTCCCGAAATTGACATCAGACTGACACACGATAGAGTAAATGTTCAAATTCGGCTCTGATCGTAAAAACATTGGCCCATTCGTGAGAGCATTGTACAAGCTCCTGTGGAGTTTCTCAGGCTCCGGCAGCAAACTTCTTGAGCGCTTGCAAAATCTTGCGAAGTTTTATTTTCCATTGTGTCCTTCACAAGGCCATCGTGAGAGCATCCTGTCAAATCGTGTCATCTTCGTGTGATCATCGGTGCCATTGGGCATGCATATACGCCCAAATTTTCATGTCGACGTATATTGTCGTCGCCGCTGTCCATCCGGACGTCCGTCCACAACTTGTTTGTAGACACTCTACAGGTTACAATTTTTATCTGTTTTTGGCGAAACGATCTCGGTATCTTTCGATATCTGATTGTACGAAAAAACGTGGTTTTAGCGTGTTGTCTCTCTGGAGGTCTCAATTTTTATCAATTTTGTGAAATGTTTAGTGCTGGAACTGGATGATATTGAAGTCTCGGTGCGCTAATTTTAGCAATAGGAATCACTTGCAAACTACAATAATGGAATATCAGCCCAAAAATGGTCCCGTTCGGATAAGTAATTACCAAGAATTGTGGAATTGAAATTTTATCGATCTATACAGTCCGCTCTGCAATAAGCCAGCCGATATTCGGTTGTCCGCGAAAATATATTAATAGGCCGGTTTTAAATCCGATTGAATCCACGCCGGAACATTATCTTCTATAGCGTTGATATATTGAATTTAAGTGTGTGGGGGGGGGGGGGGGGGGGGTGAGGGAGAGAGAGAGAGAGGGGGGTCCACTCGGCACAAACTAGCTCATTTCGGGACTAACATATCATATGGTTCAATTTTATTTCAATAAATTACTTGGGCGTAGGGGTCTTTAGCAGTGGTAGGAGACCGGAGGTTGGACAGGCGACCCACGCGCTAACCTTTGGGCCATCCCCCCCACCCCTTTTGATTTTCTATGCTTAATTAAATAGTAAATAATCAATCTGAGTATATGCCAGCTTTGATTAAGCCGTGAGCAACTTGATAGTCTTTTAAATTTAGTTTTGGTTTGTTATACAGATATATAATACAGCTGTTGTATATACAAAGGATATTTGATCAAAATATCAATAAAATATTGGCTAAAAACCACAGTCTATACATAACAGTACACATTTAATAACTCGTAACATGGACACCGATTGATCGGTAATATTAACATTGACAACTGGAGAAAATATCTTTGATATCCAGACGGTGTAACAGCACAGTTTTGTTTGTTCTGTTGGGTTTATTTATTTATTTATTGTTTTTGAGGGGGGGGGGGGTTGGGGGGGGGGGGGTCAATAGTAATAAAATATTGACATGTTAGCCTACCCACATGTAGTTTATACATGGGTATATTGGGATTATCATTGTCTTGAGCTTTGCTCAATATTCCATTTAAAGTAACCTATATATTATAGTTAAATTCTATAGGTATTGTCATATACATGTATATGGGGATCACGTGGCTAAGTGGGTAAGACGCTCGCTAGCCTGGAGGTCGGGTGTTCGATCCCCGCATTGGCCGAGAAAGTTCATCCAGATTTTCCGGCGTGGTTCCCCCTTGTCAGTAATGCAGGACGGGGGGCCTGACAAAGACAGTTGTCTAGTCCTTCGGATGAGACGAAAAACCGAGGTCCCGTGTATACATTGGAATGCACGTAAGAGTAGGCGATAGTGCCGCTACCCGGGCAGACTTTCCCTCATAGCACACTATATGGCGTATGCACGTCTTCATTAGCCCAGCATAGGAGCAGAACAGTAGGACGTTAAACCCCATTTCATTTAATGTGTACATGTATAGTCAAACCGAGTCATATAGAAACAATAACCCTTCGTCACTTCGTATAATGTGGCCAAAATAATGCGAGTCGGAGATATATTCTAGAAGTTCATTATTAGTGATTACCATCGCCGAATCGAGAAAGGCTATTCAAAATGAAATAATTTATTTGACGAATTTGATTGAGTAAAAAGTTGGCTTTCTAACTTGGAGGTCTCGGGTTCGCTCTCGGTGTTGATCGAGAAGGTTCCTTGGGATTTTCCGGCGCGGTTTCCCTTTGTCAGTGGTCCGGAAGAACAGCTGTCTAGTCGTTCAGATGGGCGCAAAACCGAGGTCTCATGTACACATTGGCGTACAAGTATATAAAAGAACCCTTGGCAGCTGGAATTATATATATTCGATATAAGAATAGGTCATAGCGTCGCTTTTTGACAAAGTTTCCGTCATAGCCCTCTGCATGGCGTATGCCAGTCTTCATTAGTCCAGTGGGATCACGTGGCTAAGTGGGTAAGGCGCTGGCTCGCTAGCCTGGAGATCGGGTGTTCGATCCCTGCATTGGCCGAGAAAGTTCATCTCGACTTTCCGGCGTGGTTTCCCCTTGTCAGTGATGCAGAACGGAGGGCCTGACAAGGACATCTGCCTAGTCGTTCGGATGGGACGAAAAACCGAGCTCCCGTGTACACATTGGCGTGCACGTAAAAGATCCCTTGGCAGTTGGAATTCGATATAAGAGTAGGCCGTAGCGCCGCTGCCCGGGCAAAATTTCCCACATAGCACACTATATGGCGTATGCCCGTCTTCAATTAGCCCAGGTTAGGTGCAGAAGAGTAGGACGTTAAACCCCATTTCATTTCATTTCATTAGTCCAGTCGGTGCAGAAGAGTAGATCATTAAACCCCATTTCATTTCATGTGTAGTACAAGTAATACGAGTCGGCGATATTTTCTACTAGTCCATTATAGCCGATTATCATCCCCGAAGTGAGACAGGCTATTCAAAATGAAATAATCTATTAGACACTTTCCGGCTAAATCTTGATCATCAACAGTAAATATGGGTGTTATTTCTTAGTAATAGGGCATTTCGGTGTGACAGCAATGAAGTTAATAATTCGTACAATGACGTCAATTGGTATGTAATAATTGAATTGTGGAAGGAGAAAGAGACGCAAAACCCCTCTAAGCATAGAAAACTGTCCTCACTTAGGACTCGTCCGTGTAAAAGTTATACTTACAGCTAATGTTGTATTTTTCATGAAGTGGTAAAGCAGCCAGCCTCGCCGCTCTCATAATGTAATAATCATAAGGTTGTGAAACTTTGTCAACAATATTAGATAAATATTCTATCTTGGTTACCATTACTGCAATTCCTGATATGACAATAACGAAAGCCAACCATACTCGAAAAGCAAGCCGGATTTTGCTCCATTTGTTTTTTAACTTTAATTTCTTAGCGATCTCTTCGGTGGTAGCGACGGTTAATTTCTTTTTAAAGGCAGAAGTAATGCAAGAACTAATTTCCACACTTGTCAGACCCCACTGCTCGCCTAATTGGCGTAATTCTGTAACGTCCCGTTGCACTTGATTTAGAACCGCACTGCTGTCGTCACCCATCTTAGATTTTATTTGTGGCTCTATAATGAGTTATCCCCCTTTATGAATAATGCAACAGGTGGTTCCATTAATACACAAGTTACAATTTTATGGTACACAATTGGCGTTTGTTATTTAAATTACATTATTATCAATATCACTTTACAAGAAGTTATTACTATAGTTTTCAATAATTTGTTTGGTTTTTTTTTTTGGTTTTTTTTACATTTATTAATTTAATTAGCTAAATATTGTTTTACGTGTATATAATTGTCCTACCATAATTCTTATTTTATCATTGCCTGATAAAGATTAGAAAAACCTCGTGCAGTAATAAACAGTGTATTCCCAGTTCATTTACTAATTATGATCAACGAAACAATTTGGTTTCTAGACATCTCAAGATTCATTTCAGATTGTTTTAAAATATGGATGGCAAACCTGAAAATGTAAATATGGACATAGTCTTTTTTACGTTTTATTTTATATTATTCATAACTTTTTGTATATATTTCCTGTATCATAGGAGGGAGGTAATATAAGCCAAGCCTGTACCTCAATCCTTTTCTGAGTATATTGTTTTTAAAAAAAAATCCTTTGTTCCGCAACCATAGTAATTGAGAACATACCGTTAACAGATATCGAATATTATTGGAAACACTTCCGTAATATCGACAAAAAAAATAGTAACATATATTGTTGAGCCCTGAATTTTAAAAGTGTTTTAAAAAGACATATATCAACAGAAAAAAACTTTAACATGTTTGCCAGGCTTTGGTGTAGGGACAATAACATTGCAAAACAATATACAAAGCATTATAATGCAGTTAAACATCCACTAGGTCAGAAACCCTACGTACTTGACTCAATCACAGACCTTGTGATCTAGCGCGCACGCGTTAAACCTTTGTAATACATTCCCCCGTATGACAAGCTGAAAGCTGAACAAATCCCAATGGAAGTTTTTAAAACCCCACAAAGACTCAAGTTTACATGTGGGACAGCCATATGCAAACGCTAGAAATACAGGCCATGAAAATGGATGCCAGTTCATGATTCGTTTTATACTATAAGTCGTAAAATAGGGAAATTAATTTATAATGTAAGAGTGGGAGCGGGGGGTATAAAATGTGATACGAATTATACCGACATCACTTTATAATAACCGGTAATTGCTCTATTTACAATTTCATTCCAACTGAAGACACGCGAATTTCGAAACAGTGGTCGGGCGTATTCACTGGTAACTAAGTATGGAAGCGTATTGGGGTCAAAACCGCGATATTAATTGTTGCGATGATTAAACCCGAGTTAATTTTATCATTTTATCAACGCATTGTGTTGTTTTTTATGACGACACACAACATGGGGCGTTGATTCAATTAACTCAGTAAAAATTACCTTTTCGGGGTTAAAATCATTTCATAGATAACATAATATTACTTTATTAATACCGTGAAACCTTTCTTGCTTTTGGCCCCTACACGCTTCCATGCCCGAGCATTACCAGACTCTAGTAATCTAGAGGTCATCCAAAGAGAATCGTTTCCAAACGAGAACAACCCTATTGAGTTTTAAAATGTTTGGATCTTATATTTCGAACGGGTTTTGCGAATTTAATGTTCCCGTAGGAGTGCCGGGTTATTTAATTTCATGTCTTTGCTTTAGTACTGTGAACAGGTGTTATCCACCGCGCGTGAAGTTAAGCAGCGTGTACATTCATTTTATGTTGCGTCTGCATAGATCGATCGACGACCACACAGCTAGAGGGTCTGGCAAGGGACAACGTATAGTCTTTCGGATAGTACGAAACACCGAGGTCCTGTGTATTGGCATAGATATAAAAGAACCATTGGCAACTGGAATTCGAAATAAGAGTAGGCCACAGTAACACTATCCGGGCAAACTTTCCCGCATAGCACAGTATGACGTATGCCCGTCTTCATTAGTCCAGTAGGAGCAGCACAATAGGACGTTAAACCCCATTTCATTTCATTTCGACAATCGCAGTCCAGCAATATGTATGTGTTCATGTTGATTAAACAATATCAAGAATAAGCCACCATTCTGAATTTAGCCCCCTAGCGGGATTAGTCGTCCCTTTTATGACCAAGCTCAATAGACTCAATGGGTCAAATTCTTATAGAAACCATCTTCCAATCGAAGTCCAGAGAATCTGTCACATATTTCACCCACAAAATAACCAGAAAATGACTCATGCCGGCCATCGTGAATATTTAAATTTCCCCAAGGGCGCCATCATCCGGATTCCGGATCTACACATACTGAAGATATATAATCCATCAAAAAATATTAGGTGGACTATATTTCTAGGTTTGTCGACCTGCTGTCGGACTAAGATCTAAAAAGTTTGGCGATCCAAGGAGACTCCCAATATCTAGCAGGTCGCGTATAATCGCGGTTCAAATTTGATGAAATTACTTCAACCAGTAACCGGAACCCACAAACCTGGTAACTAAACGATATCGATACGACCAGTACGCTCTCAACACGACCAAGGAGATCCAAGAAGGTCTTAACGCGACCCTGATGCGATGCAACAAGACAAGGAGATGTTTACCTTTTGAATACCCAGACACGATATTAAACCACAAGCCTATTTCCGATCATTTTGTACCATTCTGCTGAGGTCGTGATGGATCTGGACACGATCTGTACAGTATCTGGACTGAAGCGAGGTTGTCGTGTTCGGCCCGTGATTAGGTCGAGTAGGTCTTATCAGTCGTTGCAGAAAATTAAGGCGTTAAACCCTATTTCATTTCATTTCTTCATTTCGAGTGTAGTACAAATGCTGTGGTTCGGTGATATACTAGTCCATTATTACTGATTATGATCGCCGAAGTTGGAAAGGTTATTTTATACCCTCATCAGACCTAGGTGGCGTCCTTATTGCGCTGCTACGGCGACGGAAAATGGTCTTAGAGCGCGTCAACATCGCCATATGCGTGGTAAAAGCTTGGTGTAAAAGCCAGATGTCGTGCTATGGTCTCCATGGTCGCAAATGATCGCCGAGTCACGGCGTTTGTTTTGAGCATGTTCAAAGCAAACGCCAAGGTTGTGCGATCTGGCCTGGAAAGCTGTGAGAACCCGACTTTTTTACAAGTTGGTAATTTTTTGGGATATTTTCTTGCGTTGTGTTCACGTTTGCCGGCGACCTTGTGTATTTTCTGGTCCCCGTACGGTCGCAGCAGCGCAGTAAGGACGCCACCCGGGTCTGACGGAGGCATAACAAAAACTAATTTATTTGATCCTCAAAAGTAAATATCGATAGGACATTTCGTTATAACATCCATGAAGATAATAATTTGTACAATGACACCAAGTGACGTGTAAAAAATTAAATTGTTGTAAAAAATTAAGAACTTTCTAAAGACTGAAAACTGTCCTCACTTGGGTCGCAACGCATATAATAATGTACACGTAATATCATTGTAGAGAAACTGATTCACATTCAATCGTTCCTGTTTTTAATGTAATTTCTAATCAGTTATGTTGGGCGAAGTACACGAAGAGCCCAAATTGAAATGCAGTTTTTGGCGTATGGTTATTCCAGTCTCCTGTGGGGTATGTTTAGCCTCTTTCATCGAGTCGCTTCATAAAATATGGCATGCGATTCGTGTGCCAATTGTAAATTTTCAATTTTTCTTAAATATTGGAGATCAGAAGCCCACCTTTTCACGGTAAGATAACTACATCAATGTGGATTTAAATTGATCAATAAGTCGTGTTTGCAATGTCGAAGACTGTGGGTGTTACCGAGTTAGATATTTGTCTCCTTTAAGTTATACTTACGGCTTATGTTGTATTTTTCATGAAGTGGTAGAGAAGCCAGCCTTACCACTCTCATAATGCAATATCTATAAGGTTGTAAAACTCTCTCAGCAATACCAGATAGATACCCTGTCTTGATAACCATTACTGTAAATCCAAAATTGAGAATAGCGAACGCTATCAATACTCGGAAAGCAAATCCGATTTTGCTACATTTGTTTTTTAAGTTTAATTTCTTAGCAATGTTTTCATTCGTAACGATGGTTAGTTTCTTTTTAAAGGCGTAACTAATGCAAGAATTAATTTCCAGATTTGTCAGACCCCACTGCTCGCCTAATTGGCGTAATTCTGTAACGTCCCTTCGCACTTGATTTAGAACCGAATCGTCGTCGTCACCCATCTTAGGTTTTATTCGTGGCTCTCTAATGCGTATGCAATAACGCAACAGGTGGCCCCATTAACACACATTAAGTCACATTTTTATGGAATAAAATTGCCGTTTATTACTAAAGTTATATTACTATCATCATCACTTTACAGGTTGCTATTGTTATGGTTTTCCATAATATTTTTTTTTTGTACATTTATTAATTTAATTAACAAAATATGTTTTACGTGTATATAATGTCCCGCCAGATTTCTTATTTTGTCATTGCCTGATAAAGACTAGAAATAAACAGTAATTTTATTCCACAGAATTGTGACCTGTATATTCCCAGTTCATTTACTAATTATGATCAACGAAACAGTTTGGTCTTTTTAACCCACAAGGACCATCACATACCTCTGATACGCAATAATAGTAATTGAGAACATTGTTGACAGATATCGAAAATAAGACCTGCCAACAGCTTATTGGAATCACTTCCGTAGTATGGCAAAAACTTAGCAAAACAGAATGCTCAGTCCTTAATTGTAATGGTATTCCTAGATTAAGACAGTCGAACAAACGCCGGAAGTTTGATAAAATTATAGTATGTTTGTCAGTTTTCGGTGCAGGGACAATAACTCTGCAAACAAAAATACGAGGCAGTGTTTAGAGGCGGGGCAGCCATACACAACAGGATGTTCGGTTCGCTAACCTGCGGTTCCATGTTCACTCCCTGTGCTTTGACCGGAAATGAACATCGGGATTTTCTGGCGTGATTCCCCCACGTCATTGGTGGATTGCGGAGGGCCTGGACTCGTGTGCACATTGACGAGCACGTAAAAGAACAGTTGTTATTCCATTACCGACTATTCCTTTTTCATTTTTTTTTCAAGTCTAGCGTGCGACCAAATCACCGATTTATGAACAGGGCGCCATTAGTGAGCATTCCCTGTCGCTTAGCTTTGATAGCTTCACTCAACTGTCTTAGTAGATCAGCATGATCTCTTCCATTGATAGTCTGCCCTTTTTCGAGATTTATCAATCAGTACAATCCCAAAATACTGCCGCCATATCCATTAAAGCCGAAGTAACCTACTGGTCTTTTTGGGGAGCTGGCGACTTTGGATGCTTTCATTGTTCAGTCCGAATTGTGAATTCTGGTTGAAAGTGGTGAATCTCATGCATGGTTACATTAGGGCCCCAAATATATCACGGTCTGCTTACAAAAAGTGCAGATTTTAACGGGACGTCACGAATTTGACACGTTTTTGATCCGCTGTCAACCCTCTCAGGTCATGTACCCGGAAAATATTTTCTTGAATGGTTGCTGTTTGTGGCTTTCAAGGGCGCGGGTAAACATCAAGGCTATCTCTGCCACGATTAAATTCCAGACCTCTTCTTTACTGTGAAAAGGCAAGAGGTGTCATCTCCGAAAGTGGAGACCACGTCGGCATGTATCTGTGGTGGGGCTTGTCCTTTCAGCTGCAGATACTTGATAACTGCCCTAAAGCTCGTTTTGTCCATTTCTGGTGATTTCAATGGGTGTGTTCACCAAATGATCTGGTACGAAGACAATAATAACACCACAATGCAGTTTGTATTCCTATGATTCATTCAATGGTTGTACTTTTTTGTCAAAAGTTTGTTTCAACCCAGTTGATCTATCCTTTTCAGACTTAGATCTTTTCGAAATGGAACATAATGACATTGCTTCAGAAAAGCAATATCTTAACAAAAACGTCCACATTTAAACCTAAATAACAATACACAACATGGCGCCATGACTCAATTAACTTTTCAGGGTTAAAATCATCTCAAGGATGACAAATTACCTGAAGACATACAGTTATATTTAATACATATTGCGTTATTCATGAATAATATAGTAACTTGGCTAAATGTTTTGTATCAAGTTAACCGCTTCTGAATGTCACTAAAACAATGCCAGTTGGAAGGCAATTAATGAATGATTATTAGCCAGAAGTACTCCCCTTATCGTTTTCTCGGTTATTGTTGCACAAGAGCGATGAGCACAAGGCTGTATGGTGTCCGGAAGGACTTTGAGAAGCCTACGAAAAGACACCACGATTTGCCCCCCCCCCCAACCACACACACACATACATTCCACCAGTTAAGGCGACTCACTATGGATTGAATTCGTGACCATGAATTCAGCAGCAACAATGGTGTTATGAAATGCTATTTTTCGTTACACAGTATGTTTACAAAGAATACGTCTGAGATTTCAAGTTCAAGAATCTCAATGGGTTCAGTTTCTTACTAGAACATCTCTCAACTGTTCAAAGGACACTGCGGAACACACACCTATCGAAAGTAGAACTCACTACATCTCAATATAACAAGGGTCGAAAGTCAGGACCGCTTGCCTCAAAAACAAAGATTCGTGACACTCGAAGGAACTGATTTTGGATATTTCTAAACGAAAAAACACAAATTGATTTATAGGTTACTTTATTGAATACAATATTGAGGATTTAGAGTGTATGATTTTATAGTAAATAGGCATATATATTAGATATATTTCTAAACGTTTTTTTTTATATAAACAATATTTTTATTCAGGATGTCTGAATGGGATTGGGGAACAGGCTTAGCCTATGTAAAACCTCTCTCCCTAGATAATATACATACATAGTATTACAAACAAAGGAACAAAATGGGTGTATATACACAGTTAAAATGACAAACACATACATATATAAGTGTAAATACATGAGATGGATGGGAATGTACAATATATACTATATGATATGTTACATTGTTAGGTAAATTTAAAATTAATATTGTAAATTAAATAACTAGTAAGCAAGATTAAAATATGTTTGACATATCAATAAACTTGTGGACTTGGTGAAAAATATTGTTTACATCGATACAGTGGGTTGAGGGCCCGAACAGAAGACAGTTAATGTTTTTGAGAACGTATTGTAGTTTGTCTATGGTTTCCTTTCGTGCATTTGAATATAATAGCATTGCAAGAGGTAGTGATCAGGAGCTTCAAAAATGTGACCACAGAGGCATGCGGGCTGTCAGCAACATGTCTGAGGTATTTGTGGTCCTGTAGGTCAGAACATCGGAGTCTAAGTTTACTATGGATTATCTGGAGTTTCCTCTGACCGTTATAGTGAAAAGATGGAATTTTTATATCTGATTTGGAGAGAAATACATGGTATGAAAGATAGCTTAACCTTTCCAGTAGATAGATAATTTATTCTGAAATAATATCGTAGTGAAACAGAAATGGATCTTGCATTCTCAAAATGGCTTCGTGTGTTCTACAGGATATAACCTATACCAGTAAATATCGATTTGAATGTACGCGTATTATTTTGCCGATTTAAATGTGTGCCTATAAATATACAAATTAAAATGTGGATGTATTCATATACAGATTTAAGATGTGGGCGTATTATTGGACTGACGTCACTGTTGGTGTATTAATATACAGATTCCAATTTGGATTTATAATTATACAGGTTTAAATATGGGTTTATCATTATACCGATCTAAATATAGCCTGCATTGGTTGTCAGTTACCTATCGGATCAAGGCACTACATAATCAAGCACCAGACTATATCAAAGAGATGATCACAAAATACAATCCAAATCGAAATCTTCGATCAACTTCACTCAATCTTTTTGCAGAAAAACGCTCAAAAGTGAAACGTAGTGGAGATCGAGCCTACCAGAAACCATTAGATCAACCAAGTCCCTAGACATTTTAAAAGCAATTTAAAAACTCATTTCTACAACCAAGTTTATCAGTAATGACATGCATATATTATAATTTGACATATGTCAGGTAATGTGATATCATGATTGTAAAGCGCTTAAAGCATCTTAGGACGATTAGGCCCTGTATAAATTATTAGATTAAAATATTATACAGATTAAGATGTGGGTGTATTATTATACAGATCTAAATGTATATATTTAAATGTAGACGTACTATTAAACGCTGTATACATTATTAGATTACAATATTATACAGATTACAATATTATACAGATTAAAATGTAGGAGAGTGGTTATACTGATTTAAGTGGTAATATACAGCTGTAAATGTGGGCGTTTTATTACACAAATTTTAACATGTGCGTATTATTAAAGTGATTTAAATGTGGGCGTATTAATAACAAAATTTAAATCTGAGTGTATTATTATACAGATCTAAATGTATACATTTAAATGTAGACGTAGCATTAAAACGAGTCGAAACGAAATATAATTGTAATCAGAATACGCAAACAAGATGTTGTTCAAAACAACAATAATTAGTGAATTTGATTAATTAAATTACTTGAATTCCACTTCCTCAGTGCTGGGTTGTTTTTTATCTTGTTTTGAATCATTGCTTGCCTTCGGTGATTCAGTGCTACTCAAAGGGAGTTGTTTACCACACAGACCAAGCCACATGTTAGCAACTCGTCGATTTACCATGTAAGACAGAAAGATAAAAATACCTTGACCATAGTTTAAAATTGTGGATAATACGCTCAAGATATCATGTAAGAAAACGTTTGATAAAATATCGACCGTCCAGAAGATGCCGGTAAGTGTCGATAGTTTTATGTATACCATGGTATGGTGTCGATCTTTACCAACAAGTCTGGCATTATTAGAGGTCTTATTTATCGATATTATTGTTAGTGATAGGAAAATGAAGTTACAAATAATAACCAAAGCAAGCGGCAAGATAAAGGTTACTCCCACTAAAAGAGGCGTGTCTAAGTAACATTTCCTCCTACCATAACCAGGAGTGCCGTAAATCATCGACGACGATGAAATCACCATAGCAACAATAATCAAGGGTAGGCCATTAGCATATAATGTATATTTAATAAATCGTTTGGCAGAACTTGGTATTCTCGACACCGATGCTAATCGGAAAACAGAAAACATGTGAAACGAACAAACATTCATCCAAAAGACAACGCACAACCATGAATAATGAATTAGTATACCAAATATTTTACAAATAATATCATTGGTCGACTGAAAGCTTCCGATCAGCAAAATCAGTTGCGCTAGAAATAAACATACAACGAGCGCCATATTGTTTTTTGTTGCTGATGTCCTCAGAATCGAGAACGTGCAATATGTCAGAAATGTTAGAAATAGAGAAAGTAATGACAGGACCAAAAAGCTTATTTGTAAAATGGTCAATGCATGCTCAAAAAGACCCCGAGGTTTGACATCAGTATTTTCCTGATCCAAATATAGCTGCCATTTATCATTGATTGTCTGTATACAGACCGTTACGCGATTTTCCTGATCCATGTTATACTCCCCTTTATTTAATGTTAAACTCGTGTTGTATAATGTTAAACTGCCATTCAGTTCGTCTTCAAATTCCAAATAGTCTTGTACAATATGCGGACAGATATAGTGATCACTCAGTTCAACAATACGTTGATCAAACGGGGCTGGGGTTTCTTTTTGGCAGCAGGCTAATAAAACATCATCAGAAACGATCTCATGTGACGTTTTCCAGAATTGTGACAAAATCGAATCATCTGTTACTTGTTGACCAAATTTCCAATTATCTTTAATGAAAGATAAAATTTTTGTTAGGTTTCTGAATTGCGATTCTTCTAAGAAAAAGTATACATGGATAAAGGCATTATTTGAATAATCTAGAATTCCAACATATGTTACATAATTGGTAATTCTTAATGTCTGCAAATCCTCTTTTATTTTATTTGCTAGAAGATCCATTTGTGCCTTGTAGAACACGTCGTCTATTGTAAACAGGATATGGTACACTGTCCTAAGATCGTTTTGTATGGGAAGACATTCACCATCTTGTAGTTGGAGCTGTGGTGAACACACAATATGATAGCACCGTCTCTGAAAGTTTAACAAAACTTTAATCAACACTTTGTCTGGTGCAGTGCATGCATTGAGAAAGGCGCTATGTCAACTAACCAGGTGTTGGCCGCGAAATATCCCTGTTGTCCCCTACACCTTCCCTTGTATAAGACAAATGATCTAGTCATTTGGGTGGGACGAACATCCGACGCCCCGCCCCGTCTACACGTTGGCATCCACGTGACCGTTGGAACTCGTTCCCTTTCATTTCAATTCAAGGGCAGACGCAGAATAGGAGAGAGGGCTGTCAATTAATACACGCGTGTTTATAATGAAAGTGTTACTAAACGAAATGTTTAGTAGAAAAATCGGTCAAAAAGTAGGAGAAAGTGGAAGAAATTATAGCGGACGCCTGGTAATATTCTACAAAACGAGTTATATTTTTCAATGTAGTAGACCCCAAATGCAACACACAACATGTACCTTCCCGCCCTAGATACGCTAATGTTTATACATACCTGATACGGATGAAACCATTCCACTGACGAATTGCACATTCCAGCCACTCTTGAACTATAGAAACGAACAAATGTATCAGGGTATGATACGTCTGTTAAACCGATGATACCAGTATCTGGAACCATTACTGATGGGGGAAATGTTAGTCCAAGGTCGAATCCATTGCAAATATAACAGAAAATATTTTTAAAAGTTCCTAATCCCTTGGGCTCAATTGGACCATAGTGTTGTTTACAGTTTGTTTCTAGTATTTTTGATGTATTTATTTTGCATGTTTGAATCATAAACCGATTACATTTTCTTGTTTTAGTTTTCATCTGTTGATTAAATGAAGACTGCTTTATGTATATTTCCTTTTCACATGAAAACAATTCTAGTACACGGCTGCTCAATTGCATGTTGATCATGTTCCCTTGTCTCATAGCCAAGTGCCATTCCTTATAATTATTCTCATAATTACAAATTGCACAGTATTTATTCAAATACGTTATTCCACTTTGTGCTGTCACGGGCAGCATACTACAACCACTAGATGGCATTTTGCACAATTCTGGTATTCTCATATCATAATAATTCTCCGCACATGACATCTTTGTGAAAACGCTTTTTTCCATTTTTGTCTGATTAATTGTATCTATGCACTGAAATTTGTCTTGTACAGGTCGGGTATGTGTCACAAGAGTGCAGCAATCACCGTTCACATGACATGACTCATCACAATAACAAGGCTGACACTCAAAACCGTTGCGACGCATTAGACCCATGTTTAGCTTTTCTATGGGTATATTCGTTTGCTCGATACATTGTTGATTACATTCTATTAGTTGGACAACTGGAAAGTATTGGAAAAGCTCATCGGGCGTCCATTCTGAAAGGTCTGTATGCGTTAGTGTTACAATATCGGTCTTTATTTTTATCTCTTCTACTCCTTTGAATGCTTTGATCCGAAAAAAGTAGTCAAACTTTTTATCGACGGTTGTAGTGTGGTTGTTTTGATCATATGCGGTAACTGAAAAACTTTTATCGGGTTCAGCTCCATTGGTTGTTACCTGCGAATAATCTAACCTTGACGAATCGGCTGCTAATGTTGGCAATACAAGACACAACAGTATAATTATTTGCATGCCTGTACCTCTCATTACGAACGGCATTCACCTAAAATAATAAATCATCTTATAAAGTATAACATGACAATAGTAATCTGCGTGATAACACCTTATGAGATAATCTAGTGAAATTGGTGTATACAAAATATCATACGCATATGGGTCACCAATTATTCCTTAGCTGCAGGGGACAAAGCTTTTTTTAACCTTTCTCTCCCTTTTCCATCGGATATTTTTCACTTTTAGGTGTAGATTCGACGAAAAGTGTTTTAATATACATTTGCTGCCAGGTTTTGGTGTATATACATGATTTTGAGGCGGAAGGGTACGAGAGTTAAGAGGTTGGTTAGGTTGAAATGTAGGGCAGAAAGTTGCATTTTTTGTGTCTCTGCTTCCAGTTTGTGTATCTCATATGGCCATACCATTGTAAAATTTTAATAGTGCCAGTTACTAACTCCTGGCTGGTATCGTTATCACGATGGTGATCGATTATAAGTTAATAACACCTGTATAGGAATATTATATAATCGAGTTATATGTAAAAATTGCGATATGTTGTGTAATCACTATAGGCACAATGTGATTACGGGGACACCTCACTTTCCCCACATCTATTGTTTAGAATCTAGATCCACCACGCCATGACTGATTAATCAACAAAGGGGGTTTAAAGTATAGTCTGTAATAAGTTTGTGACACTATAACAAAATGATTTAAATAATATTAGTGAAAAAGATTACATGTAAAAAAACTACATATAATACAGATTCTTGTATTATACCATTTCCAAAATTTAAATAATATACAAATTAATACATATATAATATAATAAATATATAATAAGTACAAATATATAATAAATATATTTGTGCTTCAGAGGAGCTATATATATCAACTGATAAGCTGTGATTAAATATCAGTAGTTTATTTTTTTTATTTATTTCAAATCAATTATTACATCAAAACAGATCACAATGTAAATATATTAGTAAAATGATTTCACCAAATTTTCCCAATCTACGGATAGTTGGACGTGTTCACCAGTAACAATAATTAGAGTGGGAAGTTTACACCAGTGATACTAATTAATTAGAATAGGCTATTATCTCCGTGATTAGCCGTGTGTTTCGTTTGCTCGTATTATGAAACTCAAAAGCCTGAAAATATTGATTTTGAAATTTGAAAAAAAATGTAGTCCCCATTATTTAATTTAAACTAATATTATATTCGTAAGTTTTAACATGCAACGCCAATCGAGCAATCTAAACACTTACACAGAATTTGGTTTAGTATCTACCCCGATTTGAATTATTATTTAATTGAATTTAGTTTATTCTATTTTAATTACAGTTTAATAGAATTTGTTTAATATCTACTCCCATCAATATAAATATAAATTTAGTATCTAACCTAATGTGTTTGGCATTTAATTTTGTTTAATTATAGTTAAGTATAATTTCTTTAGTATCCGTCCCTATTTTAATTTTAGTATCCGTCCCTATTTTAATTTTAGTTAAGTATAATTTGAGTCGTAACAACTTACCTTTCAGTCAATCAAACAACAGCCATAAACGAGTTGTTGGAAGTCAACGAACTGGAATGCAAAACATTCAAGCTAATATTCCCTTATTAATTCAGGATGACGCTAAAATATCAATCGCATATTATAGACAATTACACAGAATTGAGATAAAATTTGGAAAGGCATCATCACTATCACCGCTACCATTTCGTGAAATGATCAATAAATATTTTATTGGGTGTAAGTGGAACTTGTGAATATTTTTCATTAGTCTGAAATATTTTATACCATGGGGTTTTGATAACCTTTTCTGTGCATATTGTCTGTTGAGGCCATGGATAACGTCTACAGATGATAACTTGGAAATTATAAGGTGTGGAGTATTTGAATTCTAACATTTTCTGTAATGTTTAGGCCAGTTGGATTTGATAAAATCCATTGAATGGACAAGGATCTAAGTCATACGGACTTTGTAGCCAACTGTACAGTTTATAACGACATATTACTAATTGCGAATTGAAAGTTACTGGTCGCCAGTGAAGTGACGTTCTTAGGGTTAAAGGGTTAAATGGGTGGTCAAATATAAAATATTTTGACAGTTGCAAATGATCTTGTATGGTAGTATGTGCACGTGGGTCTTTAAAGCTTTTCATTAGTTCTTCCCACATTAGTTAAATATTACAAAGCATTTATTTGGTAGTATGTGCACGTAAGTCTTTAAAGCTTTTCATTAGTTCTTCCCACATTAGTTAAATATTACAAAGCATTTATTTATTACTGTGGAATAATTTCCATTATTCGTGGAGTATTCGTTTACTGTTTGTTTGTTTTGTTTGGGGTTTTTTTGGTAAAAGAAAACCCCCATTCATCAATGTGACTAATGTCCATATCGCTTGTAGAACGACCATCATCAGGTTATTGAAGTGCTACACAGTGACTGATTGCTACGAAAACACAGCGGAGTCGCCCGAAACGGTCTGCTTGGATCATATTAATGACCATGCCAAGAAATGATACCAATCTCTACATCGGCACCCACTGGTCACCCAAACTTGACATAATTTTATATACAAGTAGTCATTTTATGCGCTAAATCAGGGATAAATGAATGAAAATCTAATCGGCGTAGACGCGATGGGAATTTTAGATGTCCGGGCACGGCTAATCATTCTAGTGGTCGAAAGTGGTCAATCTTATTCAATGCGGCCGAAATATCCATATTAAAGGGGGAGGGATTGATTGATAACATATTCACCGTTTATGTACTATGTTTAGATCTATACGCAGATTGAAGTTCATACAATACCCTGTTTTGACTTAGATGTTCAAATAATCTTACAACTTTTGTTTCTGGACAAACGTCCTTTATAATATAGCTGTCCAATGTTGGCGTTTGGATCAATGATTTAACAAACGCGTGTTTGAAATGTGACTGAAGAGTACCAGGTATCAAATTACCGGGAATTTTATAAATAGATGCGAGATTTTGTCATAATACTCCCTCCCCCACCCTCCGGGGCGTAGGAGTTAACAGCATATACCCCAACGTTTTTCTTATTCGAAAGAGTGTCCGATATGGTAAAAAGAAAAAACAAGTTAAGTAGGTAAAAACGGAAAAGATATACCATATCTAGAAGCTAGAAAGTTGGTTGAGGCTGCAACCCCAACATTAACAATGTCTTTTGCAAATGCAGCCAAGCCTAAGCCCGCTGCTATTGCCTTTCAAACGCCTGCTGAGACAGAGTCCTCGTTAAACGAAAAATGACAAATTGCTCCTAAACCCGTTATTGTTTCTCTCAGTACTCCGACTAATAATAAGCCTGCGGAGTCTGTGATAGAGGAGATTCTGCCTAACTACAGTCCGCAGTAGTAAGAGTGGCGAAGATCCTGTCCAAACCTTTAACATATTCGGGATACCGGATAAGCTAATGGACTCCAAACAACATTATAGAAGTTCTGTTATACCTCCTTGAAAATGTCTAATTTCAGTATTCGATGGAATTGTCGGTGTCTTAAACCAAATTTAAATCCAAAAATTCAATCCATTAGCTATCTGTTTACAAGGAACGTATTTCAAGAATTCAGATGTGTTATCTCTCAGATTTTGTTGCGCGTGCGCGTTGAATCAGTAGGTCTGTCATTAGGTCAGGTGGCGTGGTTTCCATTCCGCGCTTTTACGTGACAAAAGGTGTAGGGTCGCTTGCAAAACTTCGTGTGTTTTCTCCGTGTCCTCCGGTTTCCCTCCACTTCTAAAGACCCCTACGCGCAAGCGAATATGTGAAATAAAATTGAACTATGTGTTAGTCCCGAAATGGCCTAGTTTGTGTCGAGTGGACTTTAATTGCATTTCTCTCTCTCTTCCTTCAATTCTTAAAGATGTAGCTAAGCGGGCGTTTTCAAAGTCCACGACTGAATCGAAACGTTTCAATAAACCATGGTATAATAGGCCAGGTGGCGTTATTTCCATTTACGTGACAAAAGGTGTAGGATCGTTTGTCCAACCTGTGGGTTTTCTCCGAGTCCTTAGCCCCCCCCCCCCCCCACTTCTAAAGACCCCTACGCGCAAGAGAATAAGTGAAATAAAATTGAACTATGTGTTAGTCCCAAAATGGCCTAGTTTGTGTCGAGTGAACTTTAAACCCTATTTCTATCTCCCTTCCTTCAATTCTTAAACGAAACCTTTCAATAAACCATGGTTAGGGTGGCCCACGCACCTACAGAAATACAGTCCACCGCTGATAGTTCGAGACTACCACTGAAGCGTGCACATTC